CCACCTCCATGCTTCACGGTTGGGATGGTGTTCTTGGGTTGTACTCATCCTTCTTCTTCCTCCAAACACGGCGAGTGGAGTTTAGACCAAAAAGCTCTATTTTTGTCTCATCAGACCACATGACCTTCTCCCATTCCTCCTCTGGATCATCCAGATGGTCATTGGCAAACTTCAGACGGGCCTGGACATGCGCTGGTTGAGCAGGGGGACCTTGCGTGCGCTGCAGGATTTTAATCCATGACGGCGTAGTGTGTTACTAATGGTTTTCTTTGAGACTGTGGTCCCAGCTCTCTTCAGGTCATTGACCAGGTCCTGCCGTGTAGTTCTGGGCTGATCCCTCACCTTCCTCATGATCATTGATGCCCCACGAGGTGAGATCTTGCATGGAGCCCCAGACCGAGGGTGATTGACCGTCATCTTGAACTTCTTCCATTTTCTAATAATTGCGCCAACAGTTGTTGCCTTCTCACCAAGCTGCTTGCCTATTGTCCTGTAGCCCATCCCAGCCTTGTGCAGGTCTACAATTTTATCCCTGATGTCCTTACACAGCTCTCTGGTCTTGGCCATTGTGGAGAGGTTTGAGTCTGTTTGATTGAGTGTGTGGACAGGTGTCTTTTATACAGGTAACAAGTTCAAACAGGTGCAGTCAATACAGGTAATGAGTGGAGAACAGGAGGGCTTCTTAAAGAAAAACTAACAGGTCTGTGAGAGCCGGAATTCTTACTGGTTGGTAGGTGATCAAATAATTATGTCATGCAATAAAATGCAAATTAATTACTTTAAAATGATACAATGTGATTTTCTGGATTTTTGTTTTAGATTCCGTATCTCATAGTTCAAGTGTACCTATGATAAAAATTACAGACCTCTACATGCTTTGTAAGTAGGAAAACCTGCAAAATCGGCAGTGTATCAAATATTTGTTCTCCCCACTGTGTATATGTGTATATATATATATATGTGTATATATATATATATATATATATATATATATACACACTACCGTTCAAAAGTTTGGGGTCACTTAGAAATGTCCTTGTTTTCGAAAGAAAAGCAATTTTTTTATCCATTAAAATAACATCAAATTGATCAGAAATACAGTGTAGACATTGTTAATGTTGTAAATGGCTATTGTAGCTGGAAACAGCTGATTTTTAATTCGTATATATATTTCGTATATAGTGCACTACTTATGACCAGGGCCTCCATAGCGCTAGGGAATAAGGTGCCATTTGGGACGAACCCTACCTCCTACGCTCTTGCGGATGAGACCCTAGTAGGATTGAGGTGTTCAGAGTCCTCTGGTACTCATGTAAAGCCCAGGTGGAAATATCAATGTTTTCACAATGATAGGGGCCATATTTACTTTAGAGAGGAAGCGCAGTACTGTATTATCTATTATAGACCTCTGAGGTAGATTCCATAAAACTGGAGAACGTGCTGATATTATTCAAATGAATTTCCTTCATACAGTATATCTCAGGTGGAATGTTTATTTTTTTTCAAGCTTGCAGCTGGGGGCAATATTTGCAGTGTCTTCAGAAAGTATTCACACCCCTTGACAACATTTTGTTGTTCTACAGCCTGAATGTAAAATTGTTTACATTTTGATTGTGTCACTGGCTTACACACAATACCCCATAATGTCAAATTTTGTTGGAATTATGTTTTTTGAAACTTGACTATCTCATCTCTGTACCCCACACATACAATTATCTGTAAGGTCCATCAGTCGAGCAGTGAATTTCAAACACAGATTCAACCACAAAGACCAGGGAGGTTTTCCAATACCTTGCAAGAAGGGCACCTTTTGGTAGATGGGTAAACATTTTAATAGAGCAGACTATTGAGTATCCCTTTGAGCATGGTGAAGTTATTAATTACACTTTGGATGGTGTTTAAATATACCCAGTCACTTCAAAGATACAGGCGTCCTTCCTAACTCAGTTGCTGAAGAGGAAGGAAACCGCTCAGAGATTTCACCATGAGGCCAATGGTGACATTAAAACAGTTCGAGTTTAATGGCTGTGATAGGAGAAAACTGAGGATGGATCAACATTGTAGTTACTCCACAATACTAACCTAATTGACAGAGTGAAAAGAAGGACGGACACTTGTACAGAATAAAAATATTTCAAAACATGCATACTGTTTGCAATAAGGCACTAAAGTAAAACTGCAAAAAATGTGGCAAAGAAATTAACTTCATGTCCAGAATACAAAGCATTATGTTTGGGGCAAATCCAACACAACACATCATGAAGTACCACTTTTCATATTTTCAAGCACGGTGGTGGCTGCGTCATGTTATGGGTATGCTAGTCATCGGCAAGGACTAGTGATGGCAAGGATAAAAAGAAACGGAATAGAGCTAAGCACAGGCAAAATCCTAGAGGAAAACCTGGTTCAGTCTGCTTTCCAACATACACTGGGAGACACAGTCACCTTTCAACAGGACAATAACCTCAAACACAAGGCCAAATATACACTGGAGTTGCTTACCAAGACACCATTGAATGTTCCTGAGTGGCCTAGTTACAATAATGTGCAAATATTGTGAAATCTAGGTGTGCAAAGCTCTTAGAGACTTACCCAGAAAGACTCACAGCTGTATTCACTGCCAAAGGTGATTCTAACATGTATTGACTTAGGGGGTTGAATCAATATATATTAGTGTATTGACTCAGGGGCTTGAATACTTCTCTAATCAACATATATTAGTGTTTTGACTCAGGGGCTTGAATACTTCTCTAATCAACATATATTAGTGTTTTGACTCAGGGGCTTGAATACTTCTCTAATCAACATATATTAGTGTTTTGACTCAGGGGCTTGAATACTTCTCTAATCAACATATATTAGTGTATTGACTCAGGGGCTTGAATACTTCTCTAATCAACATATATTAGTGTATTGATTCAGGGGCTTGAATACTTCTCTAATCAACATATATTAGTGTATTGACTCAGGGGCTTGAATACTTCTCTAATCAACATATATTAGTGTTTTGACTCAGGGGCTTGAATACTTCTCTAATCAACATATATTAGTGTATTGACTCAGGGGCTTGAATACTTATCTAATCAACATATATTAGTGTATTGACTCAGGGGCTTGAATACTTCTCTAATCAACATATATTAGTGTTTTGACTCAGGGGCTTGAATACTTCTCTAATCAACATATATTAGTGTTTTGACTCAGGGGCTTGAATACTTCTCTAATCAACATATATTAGTGTATTGACTCAGGGGCTTGAATACTTCTCTAATCAACATATATTAGTGTATTGACTCAGGGGCTTGAATACTTCTCTAATCAACATATATTAGTGTATTGATTCAGGGGCTTGAATACTTCTCTAATCAACATATATTAGTGTTTTCTTTTTCTTTTCTTTTTTCCACTTTGACATTACAGAGTAGTTTGTGTAGATCGTTGACAAAAAAATGACAATTAAATCCATTTTAATCCCACTTTGTTACACAACAAAATGTGTAAAACGTCAAAGGGTGTGAATACTTTCTGAAGGCACTGTACATACTGGCAAGATAAAATCACTTCATAGATGTCCACAAGAGGGTGATATACCACAAGCTATGGCTATATATACTTGTCAGTATACTTGTATATATACTTGTCAGTATACTTGTATATATACTTGTCAGTATACTTGGGCGGCAGGTAGACTAGCGGTTAGAGCGTTGGGCCAATAACCAAAAAGTTGCTGGTTTGAATACGTGAGCCGACAAGGTATACAAATCTGTCGATGTGCCCTTGAGCAAGGCACTTAACCCTAATTTGCTCCAGGGGCACTGTGCTACTATGGCTGACCCTTTAAAAAAAACACATTTCACTACACATATGTGGTGTATGTGACAATAAAACATTTTTTGTTAAGTCTGTGAATGTTATTGTGAGCAAGAGCAGTAAAAAAAACCTGTACATTGTAGATATCATAGAATTGTAAATAGCATAGCGTCTTGACATCGGAATGTTAAATAAACACAATCTGAGAAAGTAGTTTGCTCACCTCATTTTCTTTTCCATTTTACTTGACAGTTTTCTCTTCTATCGGCCAGGCCATATGCACATCAGTATTCATCTAAGCAGTTATACAAAATAAAAGGCTAATGCATTATGGCCGCAGCATCACATTGGCCAGAACAGCCATCTCTCCTAGGCTAATTTCAACTGGCCCAAGTATGCAGTGCTGAAACTAAATTGGCCTCGATGGTGAACCATGAGCTATTGATATATAATTTAAACTTATGAAGTGTCTCTTCCTCAAATTGGCCTCTCCAGCAGGAATAACTAAGTCAATGTCATACTCTTAATTGTTTTCAGCCCTGTATATTAATGTGGGCCTGGGCCAGGGCCAAGGCTGCATCCCAAATGGGATCTTATTCCCTATATAGGGAATAGGGTGCCATTTGGGACGTGGCCCCATGTTTTCCTTGTCATGCATTCCTAATGAGTCCTCCCTCACTCCTGTTGGCCAGACATTTTGATTCATCACATTTTAAATCATCGCTCTATTTAGCAACATTTTTGGGGAGGAGAATGAAATCATTAGTGGAAGGAAAATATGTTGTTTGAATGCACTGAATGCACTGTAATAGCCTTAATTACAATACTGTAGTTAGAGCAAATAATGATAAGCTAATAAATATTACACTCCAGCCTGTAACAATGGATTATCAGCAAATGGTTCCATTCCATTCATGTCGAAGCAAAGAGAACAACCTCAAAATTCTATTTTAGAATTTGTTTGTACTGTATCATTCATGTTGCCATGGAGAAGGTTCCAAATGCATTATCATCATTTCAGCAAGTTCACACCTTGAGTGTGGGCATGCTTACAGCTAAATATTACAATGATACATATCAAATACCTCAGTCATGCATCAAATCATTTGACTGAGAGCTTAATCTGAGATGCACAGGAAAGGAGATGTAGCCACTAGGAGAGGAAGCGGATTGAAGGTATCTATTTTAGTATGAGTGCAACTGGCACGAGAGTAAAGGACTCTGGGAAGTCGCTTAATGAGAGGACCATAGAGTGTCGAGAGAATGGCTACCTTCTCTCTGGCAAGAAGATTGGGACAGGTGCTTTCTCCAAGGTCTACCTGGGGTACGCTACCCCAAATAAGATCAGCAAGAACTACAAGTTGGCCAATGACCTGAGGAGCAAGAACCACAACATGGTAGTGCAATGTATTTGTTACCATGGTAAAAATCATAAAGAATTCATTCTAAACTTAATTTAATGACCATAACATGTACCCACTTATTGATTTGTTTTTCTTTTTTCTTTTAGCCAGACCGTATGTCCATATTTGCTGGACATATTTCAAAACAATAGTATCTCACTATGACTAGCACTGCAGTCACACTTTGATAACATTGTTGTAGTTTTTGTGAACTGTGTGGATGAGGACATTCAGCCCTACAACCATTCATTTTTCAGGTGGCCATCAAAATCATCTCCATCAACGAGGCTCCCCCAGAATACTCTAAGAAGTTTGTGCACAGAGAGATATATGCTCTGAACGCCACGTACAGACACCCAGGGGTGGTGAGTGTTGTTAAGGTACAAACACCAAACACGTACAGACACCCAGGGGTGGTGAGTGTTGTTAAGGTACAAACACCAAACACGTACAGACACCCAGGGGTGGTGAGTGTTGTTAAGGTCAAACACCAAACACGTACAGACACCCAGGGGTGGTGAGTGTTGTTAGGGTACAAACACCAAACACGTACAGACACCCAGGGGTGGTGAGTGTTGTTAAGGTACAAACACCAAACACGTACAGACACCCAGGGGTGGTGAGTGTTGTTAGGGTACAAACACCAAACACGTACAGACACCCAGGGGTGGTGAGTGTTGTTAAGGTACAAACACCAAACACGTACAGACACCCAGGGGTGGTGAGTGTTGTTAGGGTACAATCACCAAACACGTACAGACACCCAGGGGTGGTGAGTGTTGTTAAGGTACAAACACCAAACACGTACAGACACCCAGGGGTGGTGAGTGTTGTTAAGGTCAAACACCAAACACGTACAGACACCCAGGGGTGGTGAGTGTTGTTAGGGTACAATCACCAAACACGTACAGACACCCAGGGGTGGTGAGTGTTGTTAGGGTACAATCACCAAACACGTACAGACACCCAGGGGTGGTGAGTGTTGTTAAGGTACAAACACCAAACACGTACAGACACCCAGGGGTGGTGAGTGTTGTTAGGGTACAATCACCAAACACGTACAGACACCCAGGGGTGGTGAGTGTTGTTAGGGTACAATCACCAAACACGTACAGACACCCAGGGGTGGTGAGTGTTGTTAAGGTACAAACACCAAACACGTACAGACACCCAGGGGTGGTGAGTGTTGTTAGGGTACAAACACCAAACACGTACAGACACCCAGGGGTGGTGAGTGTTGTTAGGGTACAATCACCAAACACGTACAGACACCCAGGGGTGGTGAGTGTTGTTAGGGTACAATCACCAAACACGTACAGACACCCAGGGGTGGTGAGTGTTGTTAAGGTACAAACACCAAACACGTACAGACACCCAGGGGTGGTGAGTGTTGTTAGGGTACAAACACATTTCTTCTTTGATATACGCAAACAAATATAGAGCTAGTTTCCCAGACTATGACTACTCCTAGAATAAAAAGCACCTCCATTGAACATGGTTTTTAGCTAAATCTGGATCCAGGAAACTGGCGCTTAGACACCTAAATGGATCCAGAGTTACTGATTGTATTCTATTAATATGGTGGGTACACTCTACTTTGAACAGGTCCAGCTGTATGACATGTTCCGTTCACTGAAGCGGTTCTATCTGATTCTGGAGCTGGCTCTGAGCGGAGACCTTCTAGAACACATCAACGCCGTGTCCCATAGCAAGGGCAGTCCGGGCCTCAGTGAAGAGGAGGCTCGCAGGCTATTCAAACAGATAGTCAACGCCGTCATGCACTGCCATAACAACCACATAGTACACAGGTAACACCTCACTGCCATAACAACCACAGAGTACACAGTTAACACCTCACTGTCTGCCATAACAACCACGTAGTACACAGGTAACACTTCACTGTCATAACAACCACATAGTACACAGGTAACACCTCACTGTCTGCCATAACAACCACATAGTACACAGGTAACACCCACTGTCTGCCATAACAACCACATAGTACACAGGTAACACCTCACTGCTGTTGCTGCAACAATCTGATTCCATATCTGCCAAATCACAGGTAATGCCAACAGCATCATATGTTGTCGAGTAAAACCACAACAATCACATATTGTAGTTTACAGGTATTACTACAGCAACCAAACACAGGAAATACCACAGCAACCAAACACAGGAAATACCACAGCAATCATACATACAGTTGAAGTTGGAGGTTTACATACACTTAGGTTGGAGTCATTAAAACTAGTTTTTCAACCACTCCACAAATTTCTTGTTAACAAACTATAATTCTGGCAAGTCAGTTAGGACATCTACTTTGTGCATGACACAAGTCATTTTACCAACAATTGTTTACAGACAGATTATTTCACTTATAACTCACTGTATCACAATTCCAGTGGGCCATTTCAAGGCCTACCTTCAAACTCAGTGCCTCTTTGCTTGACATCATGGGAAAATCAAAATAAATCAGCCAAGACCTCAGAAAAAAAATTGTAGACCTCCACAAGTCTGGTTCATCCTTGGGAGCAATTTCCAAACGCCTGAAGGTACCACGTTCATCTGTACAAACAATAGTACGCAAGTTTAAACACCATGGGAGCATGCAGCCGTCATACCGCTCAGGAAGGAGACGGGTTCTGTCTCCTAGAGATGAACGTACTTTGGTGCGAAAAGTGCAAATCAATCCCAGAACAACAGCAAAGGACCTTGTGAAGATGCTGGAGGAAACAGGTACAAAAGTATATATATCTACAGTAAAACGAGTCCTATATCGACATAACCTAAAAGGCTGCTCAGCAAGGAAGAAGCCACTGCTCCAAAACCGCCATAAAAAGCCAGACTACGGTTTGCAACTGCACATGGGGACAAAGATCGTACTTTTTGGAGAAATGTCCTCTGGTCTGACGAAACAAAAATAGAACTGTTTGGCCATAATGACCATCGTTATGTTTGGAGGAAAAAGGGGGTCGCTTGCAAGCCGAAGAACACCATCCCAACCGTGAAGCACGGGGGTGGCAGCATCATGCTGTGGGGGTGCTTTGCTGCAGGAGGGTCTGGTGCACTTCACAAAATAGATGGCATCATGAGGAAGGAAAATTATGAGGATATATTGAAGCAACATCTCAAGACATCAGTCAGGAAGTTAAAGCTTGGTCGCAAATGGGTCTTCCAAATGGACAATGACCCCAAGCATACTTCCAACGTTGTGGCAAAATGGCTTAAGGACAACAAAGTCAAGGTATTGGAGTGGCCATCACATAGCCCTGACCTCAATCCTATAGAACATTTGTGGGCAGAACAGAAAAAGCGTGTGCGAGCAAGGAGGCCTACAAACCAGACTCAGTTACACCAGCTCTGTCAGGAGGAATGGGCCAAAATTCACCCAACTTATTGTGGGAAGCTGGTGGAAGGCTACCCGAAATGTTTGACCCAAGTTAATCAATTTAAAGGCAATGCTACCAAATACTAATTGAGCTAAGGTGTATGTAAACTTCCGACTTCAACTGTAGGTAACACAACAGCAACCAAACACAGGTAATACCACAGCAACCAAACACAGGTAATACCATAGCAACCAAACACAGGTAATACCATAGCAACAAAACACAGGTAATACCACAGCAACCAAACACAGGTAACACCACAGCAATCAAACACAGGTAATACCATAGCAACCAAACACAGGTAATACCATAGCAACCAAACACAGGTAATACCATAGCAACCAAACACAGGTAATACCACAGCAACCAAACACAGGTAATACCATAGCAACCAAACACAGGTAATCAAACACTGTTGCTGCCTGCCACACCCAGATTACTCACGGAGGTAATGTCAATATTTCTTGCAGTCACCATGACTTGCAACACCTGTCTTTTTAATGTATTTCCTATTCCTTTCCAGAGACCTGAAATGTGAAAACATACTTTTGGATGAGCAAGGATTTGTGAAGTTGACTGGTAAAATAACCATGAACTCCCCTACCCATCTCACCAATTGTATAGTAAACCATGTGCATCACTGACTCTGTGTGTGTGTGCTATTTGTGCTGTGCCTGGCAGACTTTGGCTTTGCCAACCACTACACAGACAGGAGTGCTTTGATGAACACGTTCTGTGGCTCGGTGGCCTACACCGCCCCAGAGATCCTGCTGTCTCGCAAGTACAACGGAGAACAAGCTGACCTGTGGAGCCTGTGAGTCATCAGAGATTGCTTCTCAAATGGTCCCCTATTCCCTATATAGAACACTACTTTTATCCAGGGCCTATAGGGCTCTTGTCAAAAGTAGTGCACTATATAAGGAATAGGGGACCATTTGGGACACAGCCTCGACAAGTGTCACACTTCATTAAATAGCTAAATTAGTATCCTCCAATGATGTCTACTGTTATTTTACTGCTGTTCTTTAGTTATTTGCTTTTATTATTAAAAATTAATAATAATAATAATAATAATAATAAATGCATTGTTGGTTAAGGGCTGGTAAGGGGGCATCACATATCACTGTCATAGTTTAGAACACAACTGTGTTCTCTTGTCTGGTTACTGTAAGTTAGTTGGCCTCATGTGTCTTCTCTCCGTGTCCAGAGGGGTGATTCTATATGCCATGGTCACAGGGAAGCTGCCCTACCATGAGAAGCACCCCCGCAAACTGGTCCAACTCATCAGGAAAGAGCTGCCGTTCCACCAGCCAGTTTCCCTAGGTATTCTGCCAGTAATCAACAAGGGCCATATCCATAAAGCATCCCAGTGTAGGAGTGCTGCTCTGCGATCAGGTCCGCCCTGTCTAAGTAATCGTATTCCTTAAAGATTTAGAAAGCCAAACAGATCCTAGAACAGCACTTTTACTTTGAGATGCTTTTTGGACACGGGCCCTGGTCTGTAAAATGTTTATTTAAATTTTTTTTAAACACTTATCTGGTCCTGAAGCCCACTTCTCCATTCCACCACTACGTATGCCTTGGAAAGAAAGCGCACCCAAATTAGCTTCAGCCCAGCTTGAAAAAAAATAAAAATATGAATGCCGTCATCAATTACTGAAATTATACATTTGTATAATTATTATAGAACGGTGGTGATGTAAAGTGAAAAGAAAAGCGATTATTTTTGTTGGACGTGAGCCTGTCTTTACTTGTTGACGTTAATTTAAAGTCAATAAAACTACTTTGCCATAAAAAGCTGTAGTCCTAATGTCCCCTGGCTGTAGTCCTAATGTCCCCAGGCTATAGTCCTAATGTCCCCAGGCTGTAGTCCTAATGTCCCCAGGCTGTAGTCCTAATGTCCCCTGGCTGTAGTCCTAATGTCCCCAGGCTATAGTCCTAATGTCCCCAGGCTATAGTCCTAATGTCCCCTGGCTGTAGTCCTAATGTCCCCAGGCTCTAGTCCTAATGTCCCCAGGCTCTAGTCCTAATGTCCCCAGGCTCTAGTCCTAATGTCCCCTGGCTGTAGTCCTAATGTCCCCTGGCTGTAGTCCTAATGTCCCCTGGCTGTAGTCCTAATGTCCCCAGGCTGTAGTCCTAATGTCCCCAGGCTGTAGTCCTAATGTCCCCAGGCTCTAGTCCTAATGTCCCCAGGCTGTAGTCCTAATGTTCCCTGGCTGTAGTCCTAATGTCCCCTGGCTGTAGTCCTAATGTCCCCTGGCTGTAGTCCTAATGTTGTCCTAATGTCCCCTGGCTGTAGTCCTAATGTCCCCTGGCTGTAGTCCTAATGTCCCCAGGCTCTAGTCCTAATGTCCCCAGGCTCTAGTCCTAATGTCCCCAGGCTCTAGTCCTAATGTCCCCAGGCTCTAGTCCTAATGTCGTCCTAATGTCCCCAGGTTGTAGTCCTAATGTCCCCTGGCTGTAGTCCTAATGTCCCCAGGTTCTAGTCCTAATGTCCCCTGGCTGTAGTCCTAATGTCCCCTGGCTGTAGTCCTAATGTCGTCCTAATGTCCCCTGGCTGTAGTCCTAATGTCCCCTGGCTGTAGTCCTAATGTCCCCAGGCTGTAGTCCTAATGTCCCCTGGCTGTCTGTGCCCCTCCAGGCTGCCAGGACCTGATTAAGAAGCTGTTACAATGGCAGCCCCCAGCCCGCCTGCCCCTGGCCCAGGTCAACACACACCAGTGGATGATGCCCTCCATGACCGGCCTGCTCAACAAGCTCCGTGCCACCAAGAGTGACATCCCCAACAAGAACAAAGCCCTGGACAAGAAGCTTAAAGATGGTGAGATGTCCCTCCATAAATGGCACCCTATTTCCTATACAGTGCACTACTTTCCTATGGGCTCTGGTCAAAAGTAGTGCACTATATAGGGAATAGGGTCCCATTTGGAACGGGCCCATGGTCTTAGTTTGGTTCATTACTTCAAGCATGTTAACGTATTATTATTATTTAGATGGCATGACATTTCTGTAAAGAACTGTTATACATCCGGTAACGTGGATATCTAGCAGTATGTAGCCTATTGTACATAGTCTATTTAAACCAGCTTATAAACTGTTATAACCTCAGTCTACCTGGCATGTTGAAATACAGAGCCCACTGGATGTGTAACAGGCCGCTCCTGGCACTTGGGCCCTGGCACCCCCACCCATCCATCCTTCAGACACAGCCACACAAGTCTGCCTGAGAGGCCCCACCGGACTGTAGCGGTCCCCCACCACCACTATCGCCCCGGGGCCAGCAGCGCAGGCTGCCATCGCCGTGAACCTCCACAGGAGACGAGAGAGGAGCCGCCCTGCCCCAAGCCCCCCTCGGTCTCCACCTGTCGGCTCCTTTTGCGACCCACTCAGATCCAGAGTACCAACTCCAACCGCCTCTTTGTGACCCGGCCCCGCCCGCCCTTCACCCCCAAGCCCTTCCACAACCTACCTAACTTCAGGAAGCCCGGCTCTGCCCATAAGGACCAGAGTCTCAGGTAAACTGGCTGACAGGAGCAGCTGCCCCAAGCAGCCTGAGGATTCCTACTCCTGGGTACTAACCTAGGGGGCTGCTAACCATGGATTATGTTACCATGGACAACTATGGGCTCAAATGTGATTCTACAGAAGAAGAAAAAAATCAAGCACAGACTCTTTTCTTTAAAAATAAAATGAGATGATTTTAATGGATACTTGACTTTTGTCGTCTGAATTTACATGACGTGAAAATACAACACAGTCCTTCCCGACTCCTGTTTGCATGCAGTTTGTTGTTGTGATGGTGAGAATAATCTTCTGTTCATTCCAGTCAGCAGTTGGTTTGGTTCCATTGTTCATCAAATGGTGGCTCAGATGAAATGTAGAAAAGACCTCCTTGCTACATCATCCTCACTATGCCAGCACACTGCTGGGGCTTGTCTGGATTCAACAGATCTTCCTGGTCCTTCTCCAACTGCTCCTGCTCCTGGGCATCCATGTCTTTGAGCTTCACCTCCACGTCCTCAGGAATCTCCACCTCCAACAGGTTCTCCATGCCTGGCTCCGGCTCGTCCCCGATCAGCACCTGGCAGAGAGAGAGAGACACACACACACAAAAAAAGGATACATCAATGCTGGTGGCAAACATTAACAACAGCTTGACCCTTATTCTCAGTCGAAAGCTGTCTGGTATTCCCTGGAATTAAGAACTTGCGATCCAGCATTTTGGCTACTTTAAGTGAAAAACAGTAGAGACAATATTCCAATGACATCCTCAACATTACTGCAGACTGGAATTGACAACGAATTAGCTCAAGAAACGTCAAAACGGCATCAGGACGTACTCCAGAAAATGTACGAAAAAGTGGAAAAAGAGGGCTTTTTAAGTAATATGATAAAATGTTACAGCCTTGTTATCCGCAAGATTCAGCATAAAAATACCATTAGTCTTAGATAAATATAATGCTCGGATTTCAACTCGCTAGATTTATATGCTTTATGACTGTGATTAAACTGTCTGGGTAGCTAAAAGACTGAACTCGTGCTTCTGGACCAGAACTCAAAAGGGATCTCCTAGCTGTTATGGAGTGTATCAGGGGGTTTCATCCGAGACTGAGTAACATCTTTTCCACTCAGTCGTTCCCCACTACCAGACTGCCACCTTTTCCACTCAGTCGTTCCCCACTACCAGACTGCCACCGCAGAGCAGGCACTATGCAGGGAAGGAACAGTGGAAGCTTTTTCCAGCCAATCAGAACATCCTGTCTTTGTCCTAAATGGACCCCTATAATGCACTACTTTTGACCAAGGCCCATAGGGCACTGGTTAAAAGTAGTGCACTATGTAGGGACTAGGGTGCCATTTGGGATGCAAACTCAATTTTCTCAGTCAGTCGCTGCTGCAAATTTCAGCACTCAAGAGTATTGAGATGTCATGAGATTGATTGGCGTTGTAGACTGGGGTGTCTTACCAAGCACAACAAGAAGCCATGCAATTCCTGAATGTACTGGTTACCAAGGTGCCATGACGACAGCTGGAAAATCTGGACTTGCTTGTGAATACCACAGCAGCTGCTCACCATGAGGTTGCTCTGGGTTGATTTACTAGGGTAAACCTAAACCCTGACTGCAGACCTCAGAATTACGGAAACCGTTTGTTGATCTTAGTACAAACCTAACACACATTAAAATTACTATAAATTATACACTGAGTATACAAAACATTAAGGACACCTGCTCTTTCCATGACAGACTGACCAGGTGAAAGCTATGATCCCTTATTGATGTCCTTTGTTATTTTTTTATTTTTTTTAGTCATTTAGCAGACGCTCTTATCCAGAGCGACTTACAGTTAGTGAGTGCATAATATTTTTATTTTTTTCCATACTGGTCCCCCGTGGGAAACAACCCCACAACCCTGGCGTTCCAAACGCCATGCTCTACCAACTGAGCTACACGGGACTGTAGCTCCTTTGTTAAATCCACTTCAATCAGTGTAGATGAAGGGGAGGAGACAGGTTAAAGCAGGATGGAAACCCTACCTCTAAGGAATACCTGGGATAGTATAAAACTAATCATTCTACCTCTACCCCCCCCCCAGAAACATTTATAAATATACTCTAAAAAATAAGATTGGTTGTCCCACTGGCTATCATAAGGTGAATGCACCAATTTGTAAGTCGCTCTGGATAAGTGTGTCTGCTAAATGACGTAAATGTAAGGATGTTTAAGCCTTGAGACAACTGAGACATGGATTGTGTATGTGTGCCATTCAGAGGGTGAATGGGCAAGACAAAATATTTAAGTGCCTTTGAACGGGGTATGGTAGTAGATGCCAGGCACACCGGTTTGTGTCAAGAACTGCAATGCTGCTGGGTTTTTCACGCTCAACAGTTTCCCGTGTGTATCAAGAATGGTCCACCAACCAAAGGACATCCAGCCAACTTGACACAACTGTGAGAAGCATTGGAGTCAACATTGGCCAGCATCCCTGCTTGACACCTTGTAGAGTCCATGCTCAGACGAATTGAGGCTATTCTTAGGGCAAGGGGGGTGCAATTCAATATTAGGAAGGTGTTCCTAATGTTTGGTATACTCAGTGTATATTCGTAGTTTACCTGTATAAGCTTCTCGCAAGCAGCGGCCACGTGAGGTTCCTTTTCCCAGTTGTGGAACTCCCTCATGATGGCGTAGGTGTTCTTGGCCTTCAGAATCTGCCGGCCCACTTTGGTAGCCGTCAGCTGGGTGCATCAAGAGAAAACGTCAAGTTAGGAGTATTTCCAGCTGTTAAAAACAGATTGGATTGTACAGAAACTGAGCTTTTCTGGTTTAGTGACAAAGATGGTTAAGTGTTGGAGCTAGAAACAAAGCATTTCGCTGCACCTGCGATAACATCTGCAAATCTGTGAACGCGACCAATAAGCTTTGATTTGAAGTGTTGGTGGAAGCATGGCATGGTATTGACTCCAGGTGACACCAACCAGTATCAGGGTCTCAATGAGCATCTTGCGAATGTCGGGATCCTCCTCTCTTTTCTTGTCCTCTGGTAAGTACTGGAGATCGACAGGTAACCCTTCATTGAATAGGAATAAATGTACCATCAGTATTAGGCTACATTTCTAATGCAGATATCTTACTGTATTACTTAGCAGTAGGCTATATCAATGAGTTAAAGTGTTTTAATCAATGCATGTTGTTCACAGTACAAACTGTGGGCCTTGTGACGCCCACCATCTCTTTATTAACTCTTCTCCAGCGTCTCAGGCTGTGTACCCTTCTATAAAGACTGGTTAACGTGGCCATGTGCCACAAGACTATAAAACATAAAAACAAATGAAAATGTTTAACTATTTTTACGTGACCACCGCCTTTGAAGTTGAACCCGGGCTGAGTAAAGCACAAATTCACAACTTCCTTGGAAGGATCTTCAACAGTTTCCATTTGCGTCCCTCTGACGTTATCATGATGTGAATTTGATCAACTCTCCATGCACAAGGGGGGGGGGGGGGGGGGGCAAATACACAGTGCCTTGAAATTCCACCTACACAGAACAAACACATTGCGCCCTATGGAGGAGCGGGCAACTGCAGCAGACATGCTCATGCCACAAGTACAATGATTTCCTGTTGTGGCTGGGAATAGGAATGAGCTCTGAATCCTAATCATTAGTGGGTAAAATGTCCAACTGACTCAAAGTCGGGGGAACTGCAGTGGGGTCGCCAAAATGTTTTGGGGGAGGAGGGGGGACAATACATTAAGAGTACAGATTATTGTATGGGACAATATACTTATTTTGGTAGTTAGGATCCCCATTAGCTGTTGCGAAAGCAGCAGCTACTCTTCCTGGGGTCCACACAAAACATGACATAATACAGAACATTAATAGACAAGAACAACTCAAGGACAGAAAAAGTACAAACGTTTTTGAGAAAGACAATTTGAAATAAAATTGTATTGAGTAAATTTATTTATTGGTTTCTTTTCATTTTGATAAGAGATCAAAATTAAATAAATTGAAGGTTATTTGTTGATGTAAAAATTATATGATTTTAAGGTTGTCATTAGATTTGGTGGGATCGCAATAAATTATTGGGGAAAAAATGGGGTCCCCAGAAATTCAGGCCCCTCCAAAATTGGGGTTCCCGCTGAAAAAGTTTGAGTATCACTGCTCTAACCTGTCTACTAACTAACCTGTTATATCAGTGTCTACTAACTAACCTGTTATATCAGTGTCTACTAACTAACCTGTTATATCAGTGTTAGTTAGTAGACACTGATACACGACTGGTCTGCCGACGAAATCGTCTGATGTGGTTACGACGTTAACCACGAAGATTCCATCCATCTGCTAGCCCTGGCCCGCTAGCACACGCTAGCCGTGGCCTCTTACTCACTAGCGCTTCACCACCGGACCTTATGATAACTCAGCTATACAGCTTATATCTGCTGGACTGTTCCTTTTTACGGTACTACATCCTGTTTATGTTTAGCCTCAGCCCAAACATGGTTAGTTTATTGTTGTTTCGGTTATTTCTAATTGTACTATATCACTGTAGACCCCCCAGCCTAGCTAAACCTGCCTTAGATAGCTCCTTTGTCCCTCCCCCCATACACTCAGAGACCGACTCAATTGATGCCTCTAGAGATACTATCTCTTTCATTGTTACCCAACGCTTAGGTTTACCTCCACTTTACTCATATCCTTCCATATCCTTGTCTGTACATAATGCCCTGAATCTTTTCTATAACACCCGGAAATCTGCCCCCTTTATTCTATGTACCCAACGCACTAGAAGACCAGTTCTTAAAGCCTTTAGCCGTATCCTTATTCTAGTCCTCCTCTGTTCCTCTGGTGATGTAGAGGCTAACCCAGGCCCTGCAGCCCTCAGTATCACTCCTACTCCCCAGGCGCTATCATTTGATGACTTCTGTAATCGCAAAAGTCTTGGTTTCTTGCACATAAATATCAGAAGTCTACTTCCTAAGTTTGAGTTATTCACTGCGTTAGCACACTCTGCCAACCCTGATGTTCTAGCAGTGTCTGAATCCTGGCTCAGGAAGGCCACCAAAAATTCTGAAATTTCCATCCCCAACTATAACATTTTCCATCTAGATAGAACTGCCAAAGGGGGTGGAGTTGCAATCTACTGTAGAGATAGCCTGCAGAGCTCTATCATACTATCCAGGTCTGTGCCCAAACAGTTTGAGCTTCTACTTCTAAAAATCCACCTTTCCAGAAATAAGTCTCTCACTGTTGCCGCTTGCTACAGACCCCCCTCAGCCCCCAGCTGTGCCCTGGACACCATATGTGAATTGATTGCCCCCCATTTATCCTCAGAGTTTGTACTGCTTGGTGACCTAAATTGGGATATGCTTAATACCCCAGCCATCCTACAATCCAAGCTAGATGCCCTCAACCTCACGCAAATTATCAACGAACCTACCAGGTACAACCCTAAATCCGTAAACATGGGTACCCTCATAGATATCATCCTGACTAACATACCCTCTAAATACACCTCAGCTGTCTTCAACCAGGATCTCAGCGATCACTGCCTTATTGCCTGCGTCCGTAACGGGTCCGCGGTCAAACGACCACCCCTCATCACTGTCAAACGCTCCCTAAAACACTTTAGCGAGGAGGCCTTCCTAATTGACCTGGCCCAGGTATCCTGGATGGATATAGATCTCATTCCGTCAGTAGAGGATGCCTGGTTGTTCCTTAAAAGTAATTTCCTCTCAATCTTAAACATGCCCCATTCAAAAAATACAGAACTAAGAACCGATATAGCCCCTGGTTCTCCTCAGACTTGACTGCCCTTGACCAGCACAAAAACATCCTGTGGCGTACAGCATTAGCATCAAATAGCCCCCGCGATATGCAACTTTTCAGGGAAGTTAGGAACCAATATACACAAGCAGTCAGGAAAGCAAAGGCTAACTTTTTCAAACAGAAATTTGCATCCTGTAGCACTAACTCCAAAAAGTTTTGGGACACTGTAAAGTCCATGGAGAATAAGAGCACTTCCTCCCAGCTGCCCACTGCACTGAGGCTAGGAAACACTATCACCACCGATAAATCTACAATAATCGAGAATTTCAACAATCATTTTGCTACAGCTGGCCATGCTTTCCATCTGGCTACCACTAACCCGGCCACCAACTCTGCACCCTCTGCTGCAACTTGCCCATGCCCCCCCCCGCTTCTCCTTCACACAAATTCAGACAGCTGATGTTTTGAAAGCGCTGCAAAATCTGGACCCCTACAAATCAGCTGGGCTAGACAATCTGGACCCTTTCTTTCTAAAACTAGCCGCCGAAACTGTCGCAACCCCTATTACTAGTCTGTTCAACCTCTCTTTCATAACGTCTGAGATCCCCAGAGATTGGAAAGCTGCCGCGGTCATCCCCCTCTTCAAAGGGGGTGACACTCTAGATCCAAACTGCTACAGACCTATATCCATCCTGCCCTGCCTTTCGAAAGTATTCGAAAGCCAAGTTAACAAACAGATCATCGACCATTTCGAATACCACCGTACCTTCTCCGCTATGCAATCCGGTTTCCGAGCTGGTCACGGGTGCACTTCAGCCACGCTCAAGGTCCTAAACGATATTATAACCGCGATTGATAATAGACAGTACTGTGCAGCCGTCTTCATCGACCTGGCCAAGGCTTTCGACTCTGTCAACCACCGCATTCTTATTGGCAGACTAAATAGCCTTGGTTTCTCAAATGACTGCCTCGCCTGGTTCACCAACTACTTCTCAGATAGAGTTCAATGTGTCAAATCGGAGGGCCTGTTGTCTGGACCTATGGCAGTCTCTATGGGGGTGCCACAGGGTTCAATTCTTGGGCCGACACTTTTCTCCGTGTATATCAATGATGTCGCTCTTGCTGCTGGTGACTCTCAGATCCACCTCTACGCAGACGACACAATTTTGTATACATCTGGCCCTTCATTGGACACTGTGTTAACAAACCTCCAAACGAGCTTCAATGCCATACAACAATCCTTCAGTAGCCTTCAACTGCTCTTAAACACTAGTAAAACTAAATGCATGCTTTTCAATCGAACGCTGCTAGCACCCGCCCACCCGACTAGAATCACCACTCTCGACGGGTCTGACCTAGAGTATGTGGACAACTACAAATATCTAGGTGTCTGGTTAGACTGTAAACTCAACTTCCAGACTCACAAAGAATCTCCAATCCAAAGTTAAATCTAGAATCGGCTTCCTATTTCGCAACAAAGCCTCCTTCACTCATGCTGCCAAACATGCCCTCGTAAAACTGACTATCCTACCGATCCTTGACTTCGGCGATGTCATTTACAAAATAGCCTCCAACACTCTACTCAGCAAATTGGATGTAGTCTATCACAGTGCCATCCGTTTTGTCTCCAAAGCCCCATACACTACCCACCACTGTGACCTGTACGCTCTTGTTGGCTGGTCCTCACTACATGTTCGTCGTCAAACCCACTGGCTCCAGGCCATCTATAAATCACTGCTAGGCAAATCCCCGCCTTATCTTAGCTCATTGGTCACCATAGCAGCACCCACCCGTAGTCTGCGCTCCAGCAGGTATATCTCACTGGTCATTCCCAAAGCCAACACCTCCTTTGGCCGCCATTCCTTCCAGTTCTCTGCTGCCAATGACTGGAACGAATTGCAAAAATCTCTGAAGCTGGAGACACTTATCTCCCTCAATAACTTTAAGCATCAGTTGTCAGAGCACCTTACCGATCACTGCACCTGTACACAGCCCATCTGAAATTATCCCACCCAACTACCTCATCCCTATATTGTTATTTATTTTGCTCTTTTGCACCCCAGTATCTCTATTTGCACATAATCTCTTGCACATCTAGCATTCCAGTGTTAATACTATTGTAATTATTTTGCACTATAGCCTATTTATTGCCTTACCTCCATAACTTGCTACATTTGCACACACTGTATATATATTTTCTGTTGTATTTCTGACTTTTTTTTTTTTTTTTACCCATATGTAACTCTGTGTTGTTTTTATTGCACTGCTTTGCTTTATCTTGGCCAGGTCGCAGTTGTAAATGAGAACCTGTTCTCAACTGGCTTACCTGGTTAAATAAAGGTGAAATAAAAATAAAAAATTATATCAGTGTCTACTAACTAGAAAAAAAAGGTTGAATACCACTGGTCTAGGGGCAACTTCACCCTCCTCCTTAGGGCCCGAGGATGTATTTAAGGACTGTTGGAACATCTGAAATCACAGTTCCTGGGACAGTATATGACATGCTGTCTGTTCTACAGGGAGATGAGAAACTTGTTGCCATGGTGTTGTGTGATGTCATCCTTACCTTCATTCTCCTCGTCAGACAGTTCCTCAGGCCCAGCGAGAGGCAACAACAGGAAAGGCAGAATGTCCACCGGATCACTCAGCAACCACTCATGATGAGCTGGGGGAAATCGGAAGAGATATCCAAATCAGTAACTTTTTTTCTATTACACATTCTTGGAAACATATGCTACAAGGTCAAAGGTCAACATAGCTAGAACGTTTACTGAAAATTAATTGTACTCAATTCAACACAAAACGGGCATGAACTCTGTAAATGTAAAGATGGTCCTCTGTAGCTCAGCTGGTAGAGCACGGCGCTTGTAACGCCAAGGTAGTGTGTTCGATCCCCGGGACCACCCATACACAAAAATGTATGCACGCATGACTGTAAGTCGCTTTGGATAAAAGCGTCTGCTAAATGGCATATTATTATTATATTAACTAGGAAGGTTAGAAATGACTGTCCTACAGCCATTAACATGCATGTCTCTTTTCGTCCCTTACCATGGTCAAAGCAACAATTTCTCAGAGTGCCAATGACTCCCCCTCGTCTGATTGTTGAGGCCTCGTATTGCATGTAGGGAAGGAGTCTCTGCACTACACACCTGTGGACCATCAAACATACACACAAAGAACGGTCATCATCATTGGACAGGGAACAGACAGGAAACACTTATGGGGCAGGAAAATGATATTTTACATCTCTTTAGGCCTGTATAGCATGCGTTACCGGATGATGAGAAAAGTCAAAAGACATAACCTAGCCTAAACCTGGATCTCATGAGCTAAGCACCCAGCCACTGACCTCTCCCTATCCAGGATAAAGTGTCTGGTCTCGGGCAGCTGAGTCAGGTTGGAGAGGAGGGGGCCCAGGTAATGGAGCGATGCCTGCTTGTTGTAGCCCTCAGTGCAGAATATTTCCACTATCTGCGTCAGACCTATCTCCTGCTCCTGCATAACCTTAAACACCTCTTTACATGTCTTCACGTGCCGCGACAGGTTAGTAAGGATCGTACAGATACGGTCTGCAAACATAAACTCTGGGTCCAGGAGGTTTTTAAACAACGTAGGGAGGAAGTCAACGTCTTTCACCAGCGGTTGGTGCATGGTCTCATCAGCCGAGAGGTTGATGAGAGAGTGGTAACAGTCTTTGACGATAGCAATAGAGGGGTCGGTGGTGAGGGTCACCAGGGCTTTAAGGAAGTCCGGTTTTGACTGTAGGTAGCGACAGCCGTCCCGGTTGCCAGATAGGCCCAGGATGTACTCTGTGGCCTGGCCCTTGACATCCGGCCTGGTGTTCAGGGTGAGGAAGGACAGCAGCTCTTTGGCCTCCACGTCACTCAGCATGATGGTGGACAGGCAATGGGTGATGATCAATCCAAATATTCACTAATCCAAAAATGGACAGTCACAAGATACAGGGTTACAATTCCACAAGTGTAAAGAAAGCAAGCTACAAAGACAGAGGGAAATGAGCCCAATGTACCTAGAACACAACATAAACATACAACATGGCGAATATAAATGACAAAGTCAGTAAAGGTTACATTAAACTCATGCTGTCACATAGCATGATCATCACAGAGTCCTTTGGTGCTAGCTAGTCGGTCGAACATGGGTTAACGTTAGTTTTTATATCTCAGGCGATATAAAACCACCCGACTTCCTTGAATGTTAAATAGATCGAAAACAACGTTTGATACATAATCGACCGTGCGGTTCTGTAACGTTTATGAAATATTTATTGTGACGCACACTCACCTCATCCACATGGACCTTTACACGCTGATAAATACGTACTTCCGTATTTTTAACTAAAATGTTGCGTCTCCAATAGGATTACAGATATCAGAGATATATTACGCCTTCTAAACTACTCCTTAGTTCTGACTGGTTTTATTTTCTCAGCAGCCTTTCGATTGGTAGATTACTGCATGTCATTTCACAGCGCGCTAAAATCGTGGAAACAACATCTGCTCCGCACGATTTATCATTCTCCGGGTGTAAGAAGCTGATTTAGGCTCTTTCAAGGTCGCGTTTAGGATTCTTATTTCCAGCAGTCAGGTAAGAAACGTCGAATTTATTTTGCTTGAGATTACGCCTTCGGGGACTTTTTGAACCCACTGTTGTAGCAAATATATTTTTTAAGCTAACAATTTGTTCTTTCTCCAATTGCTCTTTCTACCTGTGGTTGTAGTTTGCCTTGAGTTCAGACACTAACTGTGTCTGCTTTCTGATTTGACATTTTTGCTACATTTTAGGGCTGGGCGGTTACCGTATTTTACAACATACCGGTATTGATGCACGGACCGGATTGGGTTTTTACTTTACCTTCGATAAAGGTATTTGAATGTTTGGTTTGTTAAATGTGGTACGCCGTGTCTAACGTCAATTTTTCTAGTTTACTTCGCTACTTGAGTCCTCTCTCTCAATTCAATTCAAGGGGCTTTATTGGCATGGGATACATGTTTACATTGCCAAAACAAGTGAAATAGATAATAAACAAAAGTGAAATAAGAAATCAAAAATGAACAGGAAACATTACACTCACAAGTTTCAAAGGAATAGACACATGAACGTCATATTATGGCTATATACAGTGTTATAATGATGTGCAAATAGTTCAAGTACAAAAGGGAAAATAAATAAACATCAATATGGTTTGTATTGACAATGGTGTTTGTTCTTCACTGGTTGCCCTTTTCTTGTGGCAACAGGAAACATCTTGCTGCTGTGATGGCACACTGGTATTTCACCCAATAGATAAGGGAGTTTATTAAAATTGGATTTGTTTTGGAATTCTTTGTGGGTCTGTGTAATCTGAGGGAAATATATGTCTCTAATATGGTCATACATTTGGCAGGAGGTTAGGATGTGCAGCTCAGTTTCCACCTCATTTTGTGGGCAGTGTGCACATAGCCTGTCTTCTCTTGAGAGCCAGGTCTGCCCACAGCGGCCTCTCTCACTAGCAAGGCCATGCTCACTGAGTCTGTACATAGTCAAAGATTTCTTTAAGTTTGGGTCAGTAACAGTGGTCAGGTATTCTGCCACTGTGTACTCTCTGTTTAGGGCCAAATAGCTTTCTAGTTTGCTCTGTTTTTTTGTTAATTCTTTCTTATGTGTCAAGTAATTATCTTTTTGTTTTCTCATGATTTGGTTGGGTCTAATTATGTTGCTGTCCTGGGGCTCTGTTTGTGTTTGTGAACAGAGCCCCAGGACCAGCTTGCTTAGGGGACTCTTATAATAATAATAATAATAATAATAATAATAATAATAATAATATGCCATTTAGCAGACGCTTTTATCCAAAGCGACTTACAGTCATGCGTGCATACATTTTTGTGTATGGGTGGTCCCGGGGATCGAACCCACTACCTTGGCGTTACAAGCGCCGTGCTCTACCAGCTGAGCTACAGAGGACTAGGTTAATCTCTCTGTAGGTGATGGCTTTGTTATGGAAGGTTTGGGAATCGCTTCCTTTTAGGTGGTTGTAGAATTTAACGGCTCTTTTCTGGATTTGGATAATTAGCGGGCATCGGCCTAATTCTGCTCTGCATACATTATTTGGTGTTTTACGTTGTACACATAATGTTTTTGCAGAATTCTGCATGCAGAGTCTCAATTTGGTGTTTGTCCCATTTTGTGAATTCTTGGTCGGTGAGCAGACCCCAGACCTCACAACCATAAAGGGCAATGGGTTCTATAACTGATTCAAGTATTTTTAGCCAGATCCTAATTGGTATGTTGAATTTTATGTTCCTTTTGGTGGCATAGAAGGCCCTTCTTGCCTTGTCTCTCAGATCGTTCACAGCTTTGTGGAAGTTAACTGTGGTGCTGATGTTTAGAGCGAGGTAGGTATCGTTTTTTTTAAATCAACAAAGCATGAGAAGACTTTTCCTTTGTTTTGGTTTGTCAATTATGGTGTGCAGGGTGAATACGTGGTCTGTCCTACGGTAATTTTGTAAAAAGACTATTTGACATTTGCTCAGTACATTGTTTTCCCTAAGGAAATGTACAAGTCTGCTGTTAATGATAATGCACAGGATTTTCCCAAGGTTGCTGTTGACGCATATCCCACGGTAGTTATTGGGGTCAAATTTGTCTCCACTTTTGTGCATTGGGGAAGATGCCAGAGCTGAGGATGATTTTAGTTTTTAAGTATAGCCAATAGAAATTTGTGGTCTGTATATTTTATCATTTCATTGAGGATACCATCAACACCACAGGCCTTTTGGGGTTGGAGGGTTTGTATTTTGTCCTGTTGTTCATTCAACGTAATTGGAAAATCCAGTGGGTTCTGGTAGTCTTTAATAGCTGATTCTAAGATTTGTAACTGATCATGTATATGTTTTTGTTCTTTGTTTTAGAGCCACAAAGATCTCCATTTTGGATAGATAACTCTGTGTTGTTTTTTTAGTGCGTTCCAATTTTCCCAGAAGTGGTTAGATTCTATGGATTCTTCAATTTACATTAAGCTGATTTCTGACATGCTGTTCTTTTTTCCCCCTGTAGTGTATTTCTGTATTGTTTTAGTGATTCACCATAGTGAAGGCATAGACTCAGGTTTTCTGGGTCTCTATGTTTTTGGTTGGATAGGTTTCTCAATTTCTTTATTAGATGTTGCATTCTTCATCAAACCATTTGTCATTGTTTAAATTTTCTTAGGTTGTCTGCTTGACATTTTGTTTTATTTGATAGGGAAGCTGAGAGGTCAAATAAACTGTTTTTCTACTGCCAAGTTTACACCTTCACTATTACAGTGAAATGTTTTGTCCAGGAAGTTGTCTAAAGGTGATTGAATTTGTTGTTGCCTAATTGTTTTTTGGTAGGTTTCTACGCTACTTTCCTTCCATCTATAGCATTTCTTAATATTGTGCAGTTCCTTTGGCTTTAATGCCTCATAATTGAGTATTACACTGTTCAAGTAAACTGTGATTTTGCTGTGATCTGATAGGGGTGTTAGTGGGCTGACTGAATGCTCTGAGAGACTCTGGGTTGAGGTCAGTGATAAAGTAATCTACATTTTACATTTTAGTCATTTAGCAGACGCTCTTATCCAGAGCGACTTACAGTTAGTGAGTGCATACATTCTTTATTCATACTGGCCCCCCGTGGGAATCGAACCCACAACCCTGGCGTTGCAAACACCATGCTCTACCAACTGAACTACATCCCTGCCGGCCATTCCCTCCCCTACCCTGGATGACGCTGGGCCAATTGTGCGGCGCCCCATGGGTCTCCCGGTCGCGGCCGGCTACGACAGAGCCTGGATGTACTACTGCCAAGGGATGAGCTGTAGGTGTACCTACCATACGAGTCTCCTCGAAGCCTACCATTGACTATGTACAGAGCTGCACGAGTTGTGACCCGTTTTTGTTGGTTGTTTTGTCATAGTTGTGTCTAGGGGGGCATATTCGGGAGGGAATACTGTCACTTCTCTCTCTGTGCCGTTTCCACGCAGATTTAGCCCCACCCCTGTCACTGTTGTTCCTTAACCAGAGACACTTGTGTTAAGTCTGCATGGTCAGTGCAGCACATGCAACAATGTTGATGACAATGATGCTGTTTTCACTTCGCTTCTTAATATAAATCCACTAGCGTTCTAGAATTACACTATTAGTTTGTGTTTCTTACATCTGCAAACAGCTAGTTTGTATTTTCTTAGCAAGTTGGGCCTGAATCTTGTTAGCTGCTAATGCTAATCGCTAGCTAGCTATGTACTGAGTCAGAGCAAACGTAAGTAGCTATACAGCCTGATACCAGTTAATTTGTAGACCTAAATCAACATTTTGTTTGTGCAACAGTATCTTCTAAATCAAAGAGTAATACGCAAAGCATGAATATGTTAAAAGTAGCTAACAGAAAACATTCAATGTAGCCAAAGATTATTTGGTCCCCTAGGAAACACTTTGGTTCCTACCCTGTCACAATAACTCCTCCCTTGCATTTTCATTCATTGTCAAGTCAAACACTGTATTCAAAGCGCCCATTATTATATTCTAACTATAGAATTAGAATAATCATTATATTTCCATGATGCCAACAGTTCACCCATGTGTTTTGCTCTAAATCGCAAGTAAAATCGTAATTGCAACATTTGGTTAAAAATAAGGCCTATAAGTGTGGAAATTATCTCAAATGAGTGCAGGAAATGCAGAAATTGATAAATGTATTTTGGGTTTAATTGAACAGTATAAAACAATCAGAATGGAGAAAGACAAATTGAAATCACTTAGAATGTATGTGTTGCCACCCTAGGGTCACGCACTACTCATGAAGCAAATGTAGAACTTCTTCTATTATTAAAAAACATAAAATACCATCATACCGTCCAATATTTTTTTATATACAGTACCAGTCAAAAGTTTGGACACCTACTCATTCAAGGGTTTTTCTTTATTTGTACTATTTTCTACATTGTAGAATAATAGTGAAGACATCAAAACTATGAAATAACACATGGAATCATGTATCAACCAAAAAAGTGTTAAACAAATCAAAATATATTTGAGATTCTTCAAAGTAGCCAACCTTTGCCTTGATGACAGATTTGAACACTCTTGGCATTCTCTCAACCAGCTTCATGAGGTAGTCACCTGGAATGCATTTCAATTAACAGGTGTGCCTTGTTAAAAGTTAATTTGTGGAATTTATTTCCTTCTTAATGCGTTTGAGCCAATCAGATGTGTTGTGACAAGGTAGGGGTGGTATACAATATGGACCAAGTCCATATTATGGCAAGAACAGCTCAAATAAGCAAAGAGAAACGACAGTCCATCATTACTTTAAGACATGAAGGTCAGTCAATCCGGAAACTTTCAAGAACTTTGAGGTTTTCTTCAAGTGCAGTCACAAAAACCATCAAGCGCTGTGATGAAACTGGCTCTCATGAGGACCGCCACAGGAATGGAAGACCCAGAGTTACCTCTGCTGCAGAGGATAAGTTCATTAGAGTTACCAGTCTCAGAAATTGCAGCCCAAATAAATGCTTCACAGAGTTCAAGTAACAGACACATCTCAACATCAACTGTTCAGAGGAGACTGTGTGAATCAGACCTTCATGGTCGAATTGCTGCAAAGAAACCACTACTAAAGGACACCAATAATAAGAAGAGACCTCCTTGGGCCAAGAAACACGAGCAATGGACATTAGACCGGTGGTAATCTGTCCTTTGGTCTGATGAGTCCAAATATGAGATTTTTGGTTCCAACCGCCGTGTCTTTGTGAGACGCAGAGTAGGTGAACGGATGATCTCTGCATGTGTGGTTCCCACCGTGAAGCATGGAGGTGTGATGGTGTGGGGGTGCTTTGCTGGTGACACTGTCTGTGATTTATTTAGAATTTAAGGCACACTTAACCAGCATGGCTACCACAGCATTCTGCAGCGAGACGCCATCCCATCTGGTTTGGGCTTAGAGGGACTATCATTTGTTTTTCAACAGGACAATGACCCAACACACCTCCAAGATGTGTAAGGGCTATTTTACCAAGAAGGAGAGTGATGGAGTGCTGCATCAGATGACCTGGCCTCCACAATCCCCCGACCTCAACCCAATTGAGATGGTTTGGGATGAGTTGGACCGCAGAGTGAAGGAAAAGCAGCCATCAAATCAAATAGTTTTATTTGCCACATGCTCCGACTACAACAGGTGTAGACCTTACAGTGAAACGCTTACTTACAAGCCCTTAACCAACAATGCCGTTTTTTAAAATAAAAATAAAAAGTGTTTAGTAAAAAATTGATAAGTAGAAAATAGCAAATAATTAAAGAGCAGCAGTAAAATAAAATAACAACAGTAGTGAGGCTATATACAGGGGGTACCGGTACAAAGTCAATGTGCGGGGGCACCGGTTAGTGCTCAGCATATGTGGGAACTCCTTCAAAAAAGACTGTTGGAAAAGCATTCCAGGTGAAGCTGGTTGAGAGAATGCCAAGAGTGTGCAAAGCTGTCATCAAGGAAAAGTGTGGCTACTTTGAAGAATCAAAAATATATTTTGATTTGTTTAACACTTTTTGGGGGGGTTACTACATGATACCATATGTGTTATTTCATAGTTTTGATATCTTCACTGTTATTCTACAATTTAGAAAATTGTAAAAATTAAGAACAACCCTTGAATGAGTAGGTGTGTCCAAACTTTTGACCGGTAGTGTAAGTCAAAACTGTTACTAGGCCACTCAGCAACATTCTAGGTTGTATTGGTAAGCAACTCCAGTGTACATTGATATGATGTTTTGGCAATATAGCCCAGCCTTACTACATTTTCATATCTAGTCTCGTGTGTCTCTCTTGTCTAAAACATTAGGTAGCTACTTTACGTTTATAATGAATGATAGCAATGTCTGACTTGCAGTATTACTGTCATGAGAGCCAGCTGTTTGGGTACAGTTGAAATCACTAACTGACTAACTAGATAACTTTTTAACTCTCCGAACTATAACGTGAAATCGCTGGCGATTTTATGATATTGCTTTATTAGTAATTTCAACAAACTTTGATGCCTACAGAGTGATGGATCGATACAATGATGTGAAGATTCTTCTGAAAACCTGGGAGCAGTCATTTTTTCAAGAACATCAAAGAAAGCCCAACAAGGTACTGTAACTAGCTAGCTATCTAGCAATATGTAATTAGCAATATAATTATCATGTATTACTAACCAGAGACCTACAATAACTAACTTATAGTCTTTCCCACTGTCCTGTCCTATTATTCAGGGTGATATTGACGGAGCCCCAGAAGAGGCTATAAGTAAGTACATGTCAATATTTTAACTGGCTGAAAAAAAAACAGAACTGAAACACAGGGGAGAAATGTTGCTCTCCTCAGGCTTGTATTCAGTGGTTATCACCATATCAAAACATTTTGCACACAAAAAAAAACGTGTTTCTTATGGGACAAATTCAGGTAGGTCCCTCCCTGTTTTGGCCCGTTTGCTTCCATTTGCTGCCTACTGAATAGGACCCAGGTATTCTTTAATTCATTTCAGTTACTAAAATTCATTGCTTTGAGTTTTGTGTTTCTGCCTGTGTTTCACAGAGCTCTACAAAGAATATCGAACACTCAAGCAAGCAAAAGAGAACAGCAGCAATGGGCACACAGACCCAACACCTGCCGCACCGACTCCGTCATCTGAGAAGGTAGGTTATGTTCAGTGTAATTAGATTGTTATAACACTTCTCATCCACAGTTATTAGTGAACTGTGTTTTAAAGGGGCAATATGTGATTTTTCTTTCATCCATTTTTTAAAAGACTTTTAAATTAATGATACATACCCATTTACCGCTTTGTTGAAGAATACTCCTTTAATATGTTTTCTCTTTGAAGGAATCCGATTGCTGGGGCACTCACCTGAACCGTAAGAGCATGCCGGTGGCTGCCCCCAGACTGACGCTGACGCCCAAAGACAGGGACTCCCTCCAAGCCTCGGCCCAGTACTTTGGCATGAAGCTCAAGTCAAACCTGGGAGCTCTAACAAAGGTACAGTCTATGTGTAGTGTGGCTGTGTATAGTTCCACACGTTGCTTTTTGCAAACTCTGTAGCATACATTTGATTTTGCAGCCATAGACCAAGACTGTTAGTATAAAATGCAAACTGCAATTGCTAGTTAACGTGATGACGCAGATGTGGGGAATTTGGACCTCTGCCATTTTGAATATATACATTTTTCCTGCGCTATAAACTATTTCTAGGAGAGACCGGTTTCTCTGAAGAAGTCGTTCACTCCACGTCGAACACCTCTGAAGTCCTGGAAAGACGGCCAGAGCACAAACACTGCAGCTGGTGCTGCAGGCAGTGATACACTGTTATCCCCTCTGCCAAAGCCAGCCAACACACGTCCAGACCTCCTGGCCTCTCCAGTGCAGACAGGGACAGGACACCCACAGCAGCCGCTGCAGGAGCCCTTTGAGCCTTTACCAGCCTTCACACCCTCCAATCTGTGGTCTCCTGCAGCGGGGGCATCATCCTCATCAGACAGACAGGCAGGAAGTAGGGCCCAGCAGCTCAGACAGACCTTCACAAAGAGGTTATCCTCTGTAGACAGCAGCTGGCTGGAGAGATGTCAGGTGTTTGACGAGGTGGGTGTTGCGGAGAAGCCGGTTGTGGGTAATTTGTCTCTCGCCGTGACGTCTGCGGTAGGTTCGCAGCAGGCCAAAGGGGGAGGCACTGACGAGGGAGAGAACCGAGGACGTGCCGCCAGTTCCTTTGTCACACCTTCCAGGCAGAACGAAGGGACAACTCTCCTGGGGGAGAGGGCTTCCAAGAGTACCATGCCACAGGCTCTGCCTTCTCCTGACGAGCACCAGCCCCAGATTGGTTGTGGTTTAACGTCTGCAGCAGACCCAGCCAGTCTGCGGTCCGCTGGACAACGCTCCTCATTAGGGCCTGGCTCCGGAGAAGGAAAGGATGGAGAAACCAGACCAGGTCTCATAGGACAGGCTGAGGGCGGAACGTCAGAAGAGACCGCCGTCGCCACCGCCAACAAATCTCGAGCGAGGGCCAGAAAGGGCAGAGTAGGAAGGGTTGAAGAGGAGACGGGAGTGTTGACGCAGCCACCGCAGCAGGCCGAGGGTGACGAGATCGGGCCGGAGGAGAAAGGTACGAAGAAAAAGGGCCGAAAGAGGCAAAGGGACCACGACATGGATGGAGAGAACCGTGACGACACAGAGAAAGAGGGGGCATTGAAAAAGAGGAGGAGAAAGAAAAATGTTACAGAGGATGAGGGCGTGAGTCCTAAAAAAGCCAAGAAGAAGAAGAAGAAGAAGAAGGCTAAGACAGGTGATGGAAATGCTAGCGAGCAGGAGGATGGTGATGTCACAGAGAAGGAAGCAGTGAAGCAGAAACCAAAAGTTCCACAGGAGAACCTCCTAGGAGAGGTGGATGAGGAAGATATCAACGCTGCCAGGAACAGAGGAAGCAACACTATGAGACCTAAGTGGGTTATACTCTATATTTCCCTTAGACTACTAATATATTTCATCAAACATTATTATTTAGCTTTACAAATTGATCTATGCACTCTCAAGAGAGCCCCTTTAAATACATATTCCTCATTGACTGTTATTGTCATAACTGGATTTTATTTTCACTAATGTCATTGTTTTGTGTTAATGTGATTTGTCTTTTGCACCATTCATGTCCAGACCCACCAAGAATGCGGACGGTAACTTTGTAAAAATCAACCTGAAAAATAAGTCTCATGTCAAAGGATACGCATGTAGGGGCGCTGGCCTACGCAAGCAGGTAAGGTCACTCTAGTGAGGTTGGTACATACAGTGCATTCGGAAAGTATTCAGACCCTTTGACTTTTTCCACATTTTGTTACGTTACAGCCTTATTCTAAATTTGATTTAAATTGTTTTTCCCCCCCCCCTCATCAATCTACACACAATACCCCATAATGACAAAGCAAAAACAGGTTTATAGAAATTTTTGCAAATGTATAATAATATCACATTTACATATGTATTCAGACCCTTTACTCAGTACTTTGTTGAAGCACCTTTGGCAGCGATTACAGCATCGAGTCTTCTTGGGTATGATGCTACAAGCTTGGCACACCAGTATTTGGGGAGTTTCTCCCATTCTTCTCTGCAGATCCTCTCAAGCTCTGTCAGGTTGGATGGGGAGCGTCGCTGCACAGCTATTTTCAGGTCTCTCCAGAGATGTTCGATCGGGTTCAAGTCCGGGCTCTGGCTGGGCCACTCAAGGACATTCAGAGACTTGTCCCGAAGCCACTCCTGCATTGTCTTGGCTGTGTGCTTAGGGTCGTTGTCCTGTTGGAAGGTGAACCTTCACCCCAGTCTGAGGTCCTGAGCGCTCTGGAGCAGGTTTTCATCAAGGATCTCTCTGTACTTTGCTCCGTTCATCTTTCCCTTGATCCTGACTAGTCTCCCAGTCACTGACGCTGAAAAACGTCCCCACATCATGATGCTGCCACCACCATACTTCACCGTAGGGATGGTGCCAGGTTTCCTCCAGATGTGACGCTTGGCATTCAGGCCAAAGAGTTCAATCTTGGTTTCATCAGACCAGAGAATCTTGTCTCTCATGGTCTGAGAGTTCTTTAGGTGCCTTTTGGGAAACTCCAAGCGGGCTGTCATGTGCCTTTTTACTGAGGAGTGGCTTCCGTCTGGCCACTCTACCATAAAGGCCTGATTGGTGGAGTGTTGTTCTTCCATCTCCACAGAGGAACTCTGGCGCTCTGTCAGAGTGACAATGGGTTCTTGGTCACCTCCCTGACCAAGAACCCATGTTTTATTTTTAGGGGGTAGAATAATACTGAAGACATCAAAACTATGAAATAACACATTGAATCATGTAGTAACCCAAAAAGTGTTAAACAAATCTAAATATATTTTATTTTTGGGATTCTTCAAATAGCCACCCTTTGTTGTGATGACAGCGTTGCGCACTCTTGTACTCTTACTGTTGTTGTAGAATAACACTATTTAGGGATATTAGCAGATATTAGATAAATTAGGCCAGCTACATTTCAGAATGATTCTCTGTTTTGAGTACCTAGTTGAAAAGCATACAGTCCCTACCTAGGAAGACCGTACGTATACAGTTGAAGTCGGAAGTTTACATACACTTAGGTTGGAGTCACTAAAACCCGTTTTTCAACCACTCCACACATTTCTTGTTAACAAACTATAGTTTTGGCAAGTCGGTTAGGACATCTACTTTGTGCATGACACAAGTAATTTTTCAAAAAATTGTTAACAGACAGATTATTTCACTTATAATTCACTGTATCACAATTCCAGTGGGTCAGAAGTTTACATACACTAAGTTGACTGTGCCTTTAAACAGCTTGGAAAATTCCATAAAAAATGATGTCATGGCTTCAGAAGCTTCTGATAGGCTAATTAACATCATTTGAGTCAATTGGAGGTGTACCTGTGGATGTATTTCAAGGCCTACCTTCAAACTCAGTGCCTCTTTGCTTGACATCATGGGAAAATCAAAATAAATCAGCCAAGCCCTCAGAAAAAAATTGTAGACCTCCACAAGTCTGGTTCATCCTTGGGAGCAATTTCCAAATGCCTGAAGGTACCACGTTCATCTGTACAAACAATAGTACGCAAGTATACACACCATGGGACCACGCATCCATCATACTGCTCAGGAAGGAGACACGTTCTGTCTCCTAGAGATGAACGTACTTTGGTGCGAAAAGTGCAAATCAATCCCAGAACAACAGCAAAGGACCTTGTGAAGATGCTGGAGGAAACAGGTACAAAAGTATCTATATCCACAGTAAAATGAGTCCTATATCGACATAACCTGAAAGGCCGCCCAGCAAGGAAGAAGCCACTGCTCCAAAACCGCCATATAAAAGCCAGACTACGGTTTGCAACTGCACATGGGGACAAAGATCGTACTTTATGGAGAAATGTCCTCTGGTCTGATGAAACAAAAGTAGAACTGTTTGGCCATAATGACCATCGTTATGTTTGGAGGAAAAAGGGGTCGCTTGCAAGCCGAAGATCACCATCCCAACCGTGAAGGACGGGGGTGGCAGCATCATGCAGTGGGGGTGCTTTGCTGTAGGAGGGACTGGTGCACTTCACAAAATAGATGGCATCATGAGGAAAGAAAATTATATGGATATATTGAAGCAACATCTCAAGACATCAGTCAGGAAGTTAAAGCTTGGTTGCAAATGGGTCTTCCAAATGGACAATGACCCCAAGCATACTTCCAAAGTTGTGGCAAATGGCTTAAGGACAGCAAAGTCAAGGTATTGGAGTGGCCATCACAAAGCCCTGACCTCAATCCTATAGAAAATGTGTGGGCAGAACTGAAAAAGCGTGTGCGAGCAAGGAGGCCTACAAACCTGACTCAGTTACACCAGCTCTGTCAGGAGGAATGGGCCAAAATTCACCCAACTTATTGTGGGAAGCTTGTGGAAGGCTACCGGAAATGTTTGACCTAAGTTAATCAATTTAAAGGCAATGCTACCAAATAATTGAGCGTATGTAAACTTCTGACCCACTGGGAATGTGATGAAAGAAATAAAAGCTGAAATAAATAATTCTCTCTACTATTATTCTGACATTTCACATTCTTAAAATAAAGTGGTGATCCTAACTGACCTAAGACAGGGAATTTTTACTAGGATTAATGTCAGGAATTGTGAAAAACTGAGTTTAAATGTATTTGGCTAAGGTGTTTGTAAACCTCCGACTTCAACTGTATATGATATCAGCACAGTATATCCTGTTTTCTCTCTGTTTCAGTTGACCATGGAGAAGTTCCAGCTGAAGGGGGAGAGGTTTGGAGGGCCAGACTCGAGGTTTAGAGGGGGCTTCAGCAGAAGAGGCAGAGGCGGGTTTAGAGGTGGCTTCGGAGGGTTCAATCGTCCAGGTGACACCTGCTTCAAGTGCGGAGGCACAGGACACTGGGCTATGAACTGCAAGGGCAGAGGTGAGAGGTCACAGGACAGACAGTACATGGTCGTGTGACGTCTTAAGCTGTGGTAGTTAAATTGGCTTGTTTAGATGATTTGGTTCTTCAGAAACTAGTTTCATTTACAACATCACAGTTGTCTTTACTAGGTTGATACATAAGAAATACGGTGCTAAAGCGTTTTCTTTGGTGTACCCGAGGTCTGTTGAGGAAAGTGCAACATTACAGAACGTTCAGATAGAAATGTATTTTGTTCAACACATCTGATTATCTGTCCTATACATGCACAAGTGTCATTTTCAGCTCAATACATGACGTTTCTGTCTGCAACATTTTGAACGTTTCTCCCTACTGAATACGTCACCGTACCCTGTGAATGTAATATATTGAGTCTAGTATATAACCCCTATTTAACCTGTTTCCAGTTGCAGCTCCAGTAGACGGTGCTGCTGCTGATGAGGTGTCTGCGGTTGAGGAGGAGCCCTTCGAGCTGCCAACCTTGGAAGAGGTTGCCCGGGCAACGGGAACTCTGCGTTCCGAGCCTCGGGGTATGTCATTGTCACCCCGTCTGGCGATGAGATTTGCATTGTGAAAAATAGTGCATTGTCATGCTGAAACAGGAAAGGGCCTTCCACAAAGTTGGAAGCACAGAATCGTCTAGAATGTCATTGTATGCTGTAGCGTTAACATTTCCCTTCACTGGAACTAAGGGGCCTAGCCCGAACCATGAAAAACAGCCCCATACCATTATTCCTCCTCCACCAAACTTTACAGCTGGCACTATGCATTTGGGCAGGTAGTGTTCTCCTGGCATCCGCCAAACCCAGATTCGCCTGTCGGACTGCCAGCGTGATTCATCACTCCAGAGAACGCGTTTCCACTGCTCCAGAGTCCAATGGCGGCAAGCTTTACACCGCTCCGGCCGATGCTTGGCATTGCGCATGGTGATCTTAGGCTTGTGTGCAGCTGCTCGGCCATGGAAACCCATTTAATGAAGCTCCCGACGAACAGTTCACGTTGCTTCCAGAGGCAGTTTGGAACTCGGTAGTGAATGTTGCAACCGAGGACAGACAATGTCTTGGCGCTGCGCACTTCAGCACTCGCCGGTCCTGTTCTGTGAGCGTGTGTGGCCTACCACTTTGTCCACATACTTTGGTGTATATACAGTGGGGAGAACAAGTATTTGATACACTGCCGATTTTGCAGGTTTTCCTACTTACAAAGCATGTAGATGTCTGTAATTTTTATCATAGGTACACTTCAACGGTGAGAGACAAAAATCCAGAAAATCACATTGTATGATTTTTAAGTAATTAATTTGCATTTTATTGCATGACATAAGTATTTGATACATCAGAAAAGCAGAACTTAATATTTGGTACAGAAACCTTTGTTTGCAATTACAGAGATCATACGTTTCCTGTAGGTCTTGACCAGGTTTGCACACACTGCAGCAGGGATTTTGGCCCACTCCTCCATACAGACCTTCTCCAGATCCTTCAGGTTTCGGGGCTGTCGCTGGGCAATACGGACTTTCAGCTCCCTCCAAAGATTTTCTATTGGGTTCAGGTCTGGAGACTGGCTAGGCCACTCCAGGACCTTGAGATGCTTCTTACGGAGCCACTCCTTAGTTGCCCTGGCTGTGTGTTTCGGGTCGTTGTCATGCTGGAAGACCCAGCCACGACCCATCTTCAATGCTCTGAGGGAAGGAGGTTGTTGGCCAAGATCTTGCGATACATGGCCCCATCCATCCTCCCCTCAATACGGTGCAGTCATCCTGTCCCCTTTGCAGAAAAGCATCCCCAAAGAATGATGTTTCCACCTCCATGCTTCACGGTTGAGATTGTGTTCTTGGGGCTGTGCTCATCCTTCTTCTTCCTCCAAACACGGCGAGTGGAGTTTAGACCAAAAAGCTATATTTTTGTTTAATCAGACCACATGACCTTCTCCCATTCCTCCTCTGGATCATCAGATGGTCATTGGCAAACTTCAGACGGGCCTGGACATGCGCTGGCTTGAGCAGGGGGACCTTGCGTGCGCTGCAGGATTTTAATCCATGACGGCGTAGTGTGTTACTAATGGTTTTCTTTGAGACTGTGGTCCCAGCTCTCTTCAGGTCATTGACCAGGTCCTGCCGTGTAATTCTGGGCTGATCCCTCACCTTCCTCATGATCATTGATGCCCCACGAGGTGAGATCTTGCATGGAGCCCCAGACCGAGGGTGATTGACCGTCATCTTGAACTTCTTCCATTTTCTAATAATTGCGCCAACAGTTGTTGCCTTCTCACCAAGCTGCTTGCCTATTGTCCTGTAGCCCATCCCAGCCTTGTGCAGGTCTACAATTTTATCCCTGATGTCCTTACACAGCTCTCTGGTCTTGGCCATTGTGGAGAGGTTGGAGTCTGTTTGATTGAGTGTGTGGACAGGTGTCTTTTATACAGGTAACGAGTTCAAACAGGTGCAGTTAATACAGGTAATGAGTGGAGAACAGGAGGGCTTCTTGAAGAAAAACTAACAGGTCTGTGAGAGCCGGAATTCTTACTGGTTGGTAGGTGATCAAATACTTATGTCATGCAATAAAATGGAAATTAATTACTTAAAAATCATACAATGTAATTTTCTGGATTTTTGTTTTAGATTCCGTCTCTCACAGTTAAAGTGTACCTATGATACAAATTACAGACCTCTACATGCTTTGTAAGTAGGAAAACCTGCAAAATCGGCAGTGTATCAAATACTTGTTCTCCCCACTGTATATATATATAGTGAATGTCAAGCAGAGCTCACTGCTAAGAACAATCAGGGAGGGTCCCCACGGAAATGCTCAACGCTCATTTTCATAGCACGGGTTACATCCCAAATTGCACCCTATCCCCTATATAGTGCCCTACTTTTGACCAGGGCCCATAGGGTTCTAGTTGAGAGTAGTGCACTATGTAGGGAATAGGGTGCCATTCGGGGCGTACTTGGAGTGAAATACAGTGCCACACACAGACGATGTCCAGCGAAAGTCGGAGTGATTGCGCAGGCAGAAACCAAGGCCCCTCTGAGCCAAAACGGAACCTGCGGAACTGTCTGGCAAGGCAATGATGTCATGCTACTAAACTAACATGCATGCCAAAAGGTCAAAGAGCTCATGTTTACCCCAATGCAATTCTCTCACTCCAGTTCTTTCCTCCCAGTTCCCTGCCCATAACAACAACTGATTTCGGTTCAGTTTCTCCCGACTCCAATTCAAACATCAGTCATAACAAACGCCACACCAAAGCTTACCCCAGACCAGTGGAGGAGGAATTAAGTAATTCCATCTCTGTACATGAGGTCCCTCTGTCTATGTCTATGTCCCAAATGACACCCTATTCCCTTTATAATGCATTACTTTTGACCAGGGCCCATAGGGCTCCCACAGATGGGGCTCCCACAGATGGGGCTCCCACAGATGGGGCTCCGGTCAGAAGTAGTGCACAATAATAGGGTGCCATTTGTGACGTGTCCAATGTCTATCTCTCTGTTACACAGTGGCGCCCCCCAGTGTTAAAGAGGAGAAGGAGGGGGAGAAGCAGGATAATGGTGGTGATGAGGTCTTGTTGAATGTGATCAGGCCAGATTACGAGCGCCTGCCTCCTCCGCCCCCCATGGAGCCCCTCTACCCCCTAGGGGAGGATGGCAAAGTACAAGGTACCCCATTTTTAAAAATACAATTATTTAATGAATCAATTAATCTAAACTAATCAATCAACCAGTGCAGCATGATTTATACTCCTATTGACTTCCAACTACATTTTGTTTCTGCAGCGGCGCCCTCTGAAGTTAATGAAGCACTTAAAGACTTTGGGTACAAGTCTTTCAGACCAGGGCAGGAACAGGCCATCATGAGGATTCTATCAGGTATGCAGGAAGAGGATAAACAGTGTTTCCTTTAGTACCTCAGTAAAGTGATATACAGTATATGACAAGATGTACAGCTCCTGTAAGTCGCTCTGGATAAGAGTGTCTGCTAAATGACTCAAATAAATGTAATTACTAAATGTAAGTAGTTTCTTTCCCATATATACAGTACCAGTCAAAAGTTTGGACACCTACTCATTAAAGTTTTTTTTTTTACTATTATTTACTATAGAATAATAGTGAAGACATCAAAACTATTAAATAACACATAATGAGTCATGTAGTAACCAAAAAAGTGTTAAACAAATAAAAATAAAAATAAATCACAGACAGTGTCACCAGCAAAGCACCATCACACCACCTCCTCCATGCTTTACGGTGGGAACTACACATGCGGAGATCATCCATTCACCCACACCGCGTCTCACAAAGACACAGCGGTTGGAACCAAAAATCTCAAATTTGGACTCCAGACCAAAGGACACATTTCCACCGGTCTAATGTCCATTGCTCGTGTTGCTTGGCCCAAGCAGGTCTCCTCTTATTTTTGGTGTCCTTTAGTAGTGGTTTCTTTGCAGCAATTTGACCATGAAGGCCTGATTCACACAGTCCCCTCTGAACAGTGGATGTTGAGATGTGTCTGTGACTTGAACTCTGTGAATCAGTTATTTGGGCTGCAATTCCTGAGGCTGGTATTTCTAATGAACTTATCCTCTGCAGCAGAGGTACCGCTGGGTCTTCCATTCCTGTGGCGGTCCTTATGAGAGCCAGTTTCATCATAGTGCTTGATGGTTTTTGCGACCTTCATGTCTTAAAGTAATGATGGACTGTCGTTTCTCTTTGCTTATTTGAGCTGTTCTTGCCATAATATGGACTATGTCTTTTACCAAATAGGGCTATCTTCTGTGTACCCCCCTACCTTGTCACAACACAACTGATTGGCTCAAACGCATTAAGAAGGAAATAAATTCCACAAATAAACTTTTAAGAAGGAACACCTGTTAATTGAAATGCATTCCAGGTGACTACCTCATGAAGCTGGTTAAGAGAATGCCAAGAGTGTGCAAAGCTGTCATCAAGTCAAAGGTTGGCTATTTGAATAATCTCAAATATAAAATATATTTTGATTTGTTCAACACTTTTTTTTGGTTACTACATGATTCCATATGTGTTATTTCATAGTTTTGATGTCTTCACTATTATTTTACAATGTAAAAAATAGTAAAAATAAAGAAAAACCCTCGAATGTGTAGGTGTGTCCAAACTTTTGACTGGTAGTGTATATATATATTTTGTGTTTGTTACAAGCGGGGGGTTGGGAGCTGAACAAACAACACATTTACTTTGCATGATGGACAATAAAGTTATATTCTTCTATTCTATTCTATTCTCTCCAGGTCTGTCCACGCTAGTGGTGCTCTCTACGGGCATGGGCAAGTCTCTGTGCTACCAGCTGCCTGCTTACCTCTATGCCCAGAGGTCCAACAGTATCACTCTGGTGGTGTCCCCACTGGTGTCTCTAATGGATGATCAGGTAACATATCTGTCCCCTAGTTATACAACACATTATATATACGGACACTGTCTTGTGAATGTCTCTAAAGAAATCGTTGAATGAAATACTGACAGTAAATGATTTTGTCTCCCTAGCTTTCTGGACTCCCATCCAAACTGAAAGCAGCTGCCATTCACTCCAATATGTCTAAAAAACAGAGAGAGGTAGCCATTGAGAAGGTACTGTGATCCTCTTTCAATCTGCTTAGTTAAACTATGCTCTATCTAGGCTTAAACCTTAGCGTTTTTGCTTAATGTTTAACTGAATCAATCATTTCCGTTTCCTGCATTACACTTCTATAACAGTCAGTGATCTTTTTGTTATTCATAATGTGCGTGTGCGTGACCTCCAGGTGTACATATGTATGTATTGTGTGATGTCGTGAAGATACCACTACAAAGATTTCAGTCAAATTTACATTGATGTACATTGATTTTATTTAACTTAATACATAGATAATATTACCACCCTGTTGGAGTAGAGCTGATATTTGAGCTATGTGACATGTATGTACAGTATGTTTCAGGCTAGGAATTGAATATGAACCATATTTAACTTATCAAAATATGTAATCTTTTACTGTGACCTGGCCTGGGATATATACAGATTCTTTATTATGTTTTAGGAGTTTTTAATGTACATTTTATTTGGTGTCTCGGTCAGATGGTAACTATAAGCCTCCTGTAGCTCAGTTGGTAGAGCATGGCGCTTGCAACGCCAGGGTTGTGGGTTCGTTTCCCACGGGGGACCAGTATGGAAAATGTATGCACTCACTAACTAACTGTAAGTTGCTCTGGATAAGAGCGTCTGCTAAATGACTAAAATGTCAAAATGTTGATGTCTTATCTATGGTGATCTGCATGACAAAGTTTTCTGATTCTATATCTTTCAATGCTTTATGTGCATCTCTCTGTGTGTGTTTCCTCCAGGTCAAGGCAGGTGAGGTCCATGTCCTGCTCCTGTCCCCTGAGGCGTTGGTAGGTGGAGGTCACTCTGGCTCTGGCTGTCTTCCCCCAGCTGACCAGCTCCCCCCGGTGGCCTTCGCCTGTATCGACGAGGCCCACTGTGTCTCAGAGTGGTCACACAACTTCAGGCCCTGCTACCTGCGTCTCTGCAAGGTGAGCTCTGGTGACCACTATATATGGCCTAACCCACCATTTGGGGGACACTTTATTACAAGAGGGAGTTTTTCCACAGCACTTGCGTCTTTAGAATGAGCCTGTCTCTCACCATAGCTGTCCATGGCTAACCCATGCATGCCATTGTACCCCTCAGAGTGGAAGTGCCCTGTAAGTCTCTTTGACCGACTGGGTTTTAATCTGGGTTGTCTGTGCACCACAAGACTGTGTTAGCTTGCTGAACTAAATACCTAAAGTGCCTTGCAAAAGTATTCAACCCCCTTGGCGTTTTTCCTATTTTGTTGCATTACAACCTGTAATTTAAATGGATTTTTATTTGGATTTCATGTAATGGACATGCACAAAATAGTCCAAATTGGGGAAGTGAAATGAAAAAAAATTACTTGTTCAAAAAATTCTAACAAATAAATAATGGAAAAGTGGTGCGTGCATATGTATTCACCCCCTTTGCTATGAAGCCTCTAAATAAGATCTGGTGCAACCAATTACCTTCAGAAGTCACATAATTAGTTAAATAATTAGTATTATAAAGTCCACCTGTGTGCATTCTAAGTGTCACATGATCTCAGTATATATACACCTGTTCTGAAAGGCCCCTGAGTCTGCAACACCACTAAGCAAGGGGCACCACCAAGCAAGCGGCACAATGAAGACCAAGGAGCTCTCCAAACAGGTCAGGGACAAAGTTGTGGAGAAGTACAGATCAGGGTTGGGTTATAAAAAAATATCTGAAACTTTGAACATCCCACGGAGCACCATTAAATCCATTATTAAAAAATGGAAAGAATATGGCACCACAACAAACCTGCCAAGAGTGGGCCGCCCACAAAAACTCACGGACTAGGCAAGGAGGGCATTAATCAGAGAGGCAACAAAGAGACCAAAGATAACCCTGAAGAAGCTGCAAAGCTCCACAGTGGAGATTGGAGTATCTGTCTATAGGACCACTTTAAGCCATACACTCCACAGAGCTGGGCTTTACGGAAGAGTGGCCAGAAAAAAACCATTGCTTAAAGAAAAAAATAAGCAAACACGTTTGGTGTTCTCCAAAAGCCATGTGGGAGACTCCCCAAACATATGGAAGAAGGTACACTGGTCACATGAGACACAAATTGAGCTTTTTGGCCATCAAGGAAAACGCTATGTCTGGCGCAAACCCAACACCTCTCATCACTCTGAGAACACCATCCCCACATTGAAGCATGGTGGTGGCAGCATCATGCTGTGGGGATGTTTTTCATCGGCAGGGACTGGGAAACTGGTCAGAATTGAAGGAATGATGGATGGCGCTAAATACAGTCGTGGTCAAAATTTTGAGAATTACACAAATATTAATTTTCACAAAGTCTGCTGCCTCAGTTTTTATGATGGCAATCTGCATATACTCCAGAATGTTATGAAGAGTGATCAGATGAATTGCAATTAATTGCAAAGTCCCTCTTTGCCATGAAAATGAAAATTTCCACTGCATTTCAGCCCTGCCACAAAAGGACCAGCTGACATCATGTCAGTGATTCTCTCATTAACACAGGTGAGAGTGTTGATGAGGACAAGAATGGAGATCACTCTGTCATGCTGATTGAGTTAGAATAACAGACTGGAAGCTTTAAAAGGAGGGTGGTGCTTGAAATCATTGTTCTTCTGTTAACCATGGTTACCTGCAAGGAAACACATACCGTCATCATTGCTTTGCACAAAAAGGGCTTCACAGGCAAGGATATTGCTGCTAGTAAGATTGCATCTAAATCAACCATTTATCGGATAGTCAAGAACTTAAAGGAGAGAGGTTCAATTGTTGTGAAGAAGGCTTCAGGGCGCCCAAGAAAGTCCTGCAAGCGCCATGAACGTCTCCTAAAGTTGATTCAGCTGCGGGAACGGGGCACCACCAGTGCAGAGCTTGCTCAGGAATGGCAGCAGGCAGGTGTGAGTGCATCTGCACGCACAGTGGAGGATGGCCTGGTGTCAAGAAGGGCAGCGAGGAAGCCACTTCTCTCCATTAAAAACATCAGGGACAGACTGATATTCTGCAAAAGGTACAGGGATTGGACTGCTGAGGACTGGGGTAAAGTCATTTTCTCTGATGAATCTCCTTTCCGATTGTTTGGGGCATCTGGAAAAAAGCTTGTCCGGAGAAGACAAGGTGAGCGCTACCATCAGTCCTGTGTCATGCCAACAGTAAAGCATCCTGAGACCATTCATGTGTGGGGTTGCTTTTCAGCCAAGGGAGTGGGCTCACTCACAATTTTGCCTAAGAACACAGCCATGAATAAAGAATGGTACCAACACATCCTCCGAGAGCAACTTCTCCCAACCATCCAAGAACAGTTTGGTGACGACCAATGCCTTTTCCAGCATGATGGAGCACCTTGCCAGAAGGCAAAAGTGATAACTAAGTGGCTCGGGGAACAAAACATTGACATTTTGAGTCCATGGCCAGGAAACTCCCCAGACCTTAATCCCATTGAGAACTTGTGGTCAATCCTCAAGAGGCGGATGGACAAACACAAATTCGGACAAACTCCAAGCATTGATTATGCAAGAATGGGCTGCCATCAGTCAGGATGTGGCCCAGAAGTTAATTGACAGCATGCCAGGGTGGATTGCAGAGGTCTTGAAAAAGAAGGGTCAACACTGCAAATATTGACTCTTTGCGTAAACTTAATGTAATTGTCAATAAAAGCCTTTGACACTTATGGAATGCTTGTAATTATACTTCAGTTTGTTTCACAATAAAAAATATTTTGCATCGTCAAAGTGGTAGGCATGTTGTGTAAGTCAAATGATGCAAACCCCCCCCCCCCCCCCCCCCCCCCAAAAAAAAAAATCCATTTTAATTCCAGGTTGTAAGGCAACAAAATAGGAAAAATGCCAAGGGGGGTGAATACTTTTGCAAGCCACTCTAGATCTTCAGGTCTTAGGCAAGTTTACTCATCACACGACCATGGTTCACCAAACCACCTCCGTTCCATCTCCTAGGTGTTGAGGGACCGTCTGGGCGTGCGTTGCCTGCTGGGTCTGACGGCCACCGCCACCCTGTCCACAGCCCTGAACATCGCTCAACACCTGGGCATTACTGACCAGGACGGTGTTGCTGTCCGCTCAACCGCCGTGCCTGACAACCTGCAGCTGTCTGTCTCCATGGACCGAGACAAGGACCAGGTAGGATGCATACCAACCACACACACAAACAATTTAATCCTTTTTCATTGTGCCAGGAAAAGCCCAATCAAGCTTTGCTAAAGTATTTGAAAGAAAACAAATAGTATTTTAACCCAGGTCTGATGCTGTGTGTCCTGTCCCCTGTCCAGGCCCTGGTGTGTCTGCTGAAGGGAGAGCGGTTTGGGTCTTTGGAGTCCGTCATTGTTTACTGCACCAGGAGAGAGGAGACGTCCCGTATATCTGCCCTGCTCAGGACCTGCCTGCAGGGGGTGCTGTTGAAGGAGTCTAACAAAAGCGCTTGTCAGGAGGCAGACGACAACCCTGTAGGGAAGAAGAAGAAAGCTTTGGGTACCTGTCTGTCTGGGTTTGGCTGGAGCTGGGTTGATTTGGATGTTACATTCATATATATTATATTGGGATGATGATATTCACAGAAGTCTAGGTAAAGGGCTGAATCTTGTCTTGAATCATACGTTGATGACAATAGGGGATCAGGAATTTTGGAAAATTGACATTTTGCGTTGCTCTGGTGCCGTAGTCAAAAAGTGTCATCAAAGTGCTAGGATCAGTTTTCCCTTTTTTTAGATCCTATTGAATCAGATTATATAGATATGCTTGATCAGCATTGTTACTCTGACACTTGATACATAAGGCCCCTGATCCTAGATTAGCACTGCTACTCTGAGAAGCTTTGGGAATACGGGCCCTGACCTCTCTCTGCTGTGCGCCCTCAGCCAGGAAGAAGATCCGTAAGCCTCTGAAGTGGATGGCTGAGTCCTACCACGCCGGCATGTCGTCTTCTGAGCGCCGTCGCGTCCAGAACAACTTCATGTGTGGCGAGCTGCGCGTTGTGGTCGCCACGGTAGCCTTCGGTATGGGCCTGGACAAGTCGGACGTGCGCGGCATCGTGCACTACAACATGCCCAAGAGCTTCGAGAGCTACGTGCAGGAGATCGGGAGGGCAGGGAGAGATGGGGTACCGGCCCACTGTCATCTCTTCCTGGATCCTGAGGTAAGGCTCTCGCGCTCTCTCGCTCTCTCGCTCTCGCTCTTTCTCTTTCTCTCTCCTTTTTTCAGTCGTTATTTATTTGATACTTTTAAATTTACTTTTCATCCCAATTCAAATGTTTTGATGACAACGTCTAGTAAGTAATAGTTAAGTGATGAATTGATACTTGGTGAGTAGTGTACAGTGTCTGTGCAACAATACTTTAGTTCGAATTATTAGGTTAATCGCACATATATCTATCTATCGTATGTCTTGGCGCTCTATTGAATGATATGTAGTGAGAGAGTTCAGTCTCCCGAGTGGCGCAGTGGTCTAAGGCACTGCATCGCAGTGCTAGCTGTGCCACTAGAGATCCTGGTTCGAATCCAGGCTCTGTCGTAGCCGGCCGCGACCGGGAGACCCATGGGGCGGCACACAATTGGCCCAGCGTCGTCCAGGGTAGGGGAGGGAATGGCCGGCAGGGATGTAGCTCAGTTGGTAGAGCATGTTGTTTGCAACGCCAGGGTTGTGGGTTCGATTCCCACGGGGGGCCAATATGAAAAGTAAAAAAATAATGTATGCACTCACTAACTGTAAGTCGCTCTGGATAAGAGCGTCTGCTAAATGACGTAAATGTAATATGTATGCTCATTATGTTGAGTAATCCTACGTTCTTGCCTGGTGTTGTTGTAGGGAGGGGACCTGCATGAGTTGCGGAAGCACATCTATGCGGACACGGTGGACCACTACACTGTGAAGAAGCTGGTGCAGAAGGTGTTTCCTCCCTGCAAGTGCAGACAGATCCACCAGAAACAGCAGGACCTAGCCAGGGTAATGTTGGTATACTTACATATTCAACTTTTTCTTCCCTTCTCTCTGTCTGCAATGTGAACCTCAATTAAGGTTTAGGATTAACAGTTGTTTTATCAAGATGTATCAGGCACAAACCAAACAGTATTATTTTTTTTCATTGAAAACATAATCTAATTATTCTAACCATATCTTAGGCTCAGGAGGAGGTTGATGACTCCGAGATGATGGAACTGATGGACACCTGTGATGAGATACCAGCTGAAACACCGGAACACATAACGGAGACTGGTCAGAACACCCCCGTCGAGCAGTTGGAACAGGCCAGAATCCCTACTGAGGACAAGGATGTACCAACTCTTCAACCACTGGACGGGGAACAGAAACACCCACCAGAGTCAAGTGTTCCGTTTCCCCAGAGAGCGGATGGCAAACATGAAGAGGAGGAGCAGACAGGGGGAGGTGATGATTGGCCCACGACTAGGGTGTGTCACACCCATGAGAGGGCCATCCCAATGCAGGACACTGTGGAAGCCCTGGACATCACTGAGGAAGGTAGGTACCTCACTATACCCAACACAGGGCAGGTTAAATATTTTGTCTGTTTAAGTAAAACAAACGGATAGTTTATTCAAGGATCAGAAAACAGTAAATATGTAATTAGAATGAGATCCCACTTTTAATTCAGCTTTTTCTGTCAAGACCAGTGACTCTCCACCGCCTTTTCTTCAGACATCAGAGTAATCTTTTCTATACTTTCCAGACTGTATTTACAATATAATTTGAATCATTTGAAGTCTATCTCTGTGTCTGTCAGGTTTAGAGACTCTGCTGTGCTATCTGGAGCTGCACCCTCAGCAGTGGGTAGAGCTGCTCCACCCCACCCTCTCCGCCTGTAAGCTGGTCTGTTACAACGGCCCGCATCAACTCCGCAAACTCACCAAGATGTAGGACAACATCACAAAACCAGGGTCATGTTCACCAGTGCACAATGTAGCAAAACCGTGTTTAAACGGTGTGCAACAGACGAAAAAAAAACAGTGTGCGTTTCTTATTCAACAAGTTCTGCAAAGTCATTCCCCACACCTGGCCAGTCTGTTACAGTAGACTGTTTAGCTGTACCAAACAAAGTCCTGTTCGCTAGGTTGTGTTTGTATATGTACTGTTGAAGTCGGAAGTTTACATACACTTAGGTTGGAGTCATTAAAACTCGTTTTTCAACCACTCCACAAATTCCTTGTTAACAAACTATAGTTTTGGCAAGTCGGTTAGGACATCTACTTTGTGCATGACACAAGTAATTTTTCCAACAATTGTTTACAGACAGATTATTTCACTTATAACTCACTGTATCACAATTCCAGTGGGTCAGAAGTTTTTCCAAATGCCTGAAGGTACCACGTTCATCTGTACAAACAATAGTACGCAAGTATAAACACCATGGGACCACGCAGCCGTCAATACCGCTCAGGAAGGAGATGCGTTCTGTCTCCTAGAGATGAACGTACTTTGGTGCGAAAAGTGCAAATCAATCCCAGAACAACAGCAAAGGACCTTGTGAAGAGGCTGGAGGAAACGGGTACAAAAGTATCTATATCCACAGTAAAACGAGTCCTATATCGACATAACCTGAAAGGCCGCTCAGCAAGGAAGAAGCAACTGCTCCAAAACCGCCATAAAAAAAGCCAGACTACGGTTTGCAACTGCACATGGGGACAAAGATCGTACTTTTTGGAGAAATGTCCTCTGGTCTGATGAAACAAAAGTAGAACTGTTTGGCCATAATGACCATCGTTATGTTTGGAGGAAAAAAGGGGTAGCTTGCAAGCCGAAGAACACCATCCCAACCGTGAAGCACGGGGGTGGCAGCATCATGCTGTGGGGGTGCTTTGCTGCAGGAGGGACTGGTGCACTTCACAAAATAGATGGCATCATGAGGAAGGAAAATTATGTGGATATATTGAAGCAACATCTCAAGACATCAGTCAGGAAGTTAAAGCTTGGTCGCAAAATGGTCTTCCAAATAGACAATGACCCCAAGCATACTTCCAAAGTTGTGGCAAAATGGCTTAAGGACAGCAAAGTCAAGGTATTGAGTGGCCATCACAAAGCCCTGACCTCAATCCTATAGAAAATGTGTGGGCAGAACTGAAAAAGCGTGTGCGAGCAAGGAGGCCTACAAACCAGACTCAGTTACACCAGCTCTGTCAGGAGGAATGGGCCAAAATTCAACCAACTTATTGTGGGAAGCTTGTGGAAGGCTACCCGAAACGTTTGACCCAAGTTAAACTATTTAAAGGCAATGCTACCAAATACTAATTGAGTGTATGTAAACTTCTGACCCACTGGGAATGTGATGAAAGAAATAAAAGCTGAAATAAATAATTCTCTCTACTATTATTCTGACATTTCACATTCTTAAAATAAAGTGATGATCCTAACTGACCTAAAACAGGGAATTTTTACTAGGATTAAATGTCAGGAATTGTGAAAAACTGAGTTTAAATGTATTTGGCTAACGTGTATGTAAACATCCGACTTCAACTGTAGGTGTGTATTTCATACTTGTGATGTTATTTTGGTCCAAAAAGGCAGCAGGACATTTGCCATGTGAATAGTTTGGTGTTTTCGTGTACAGGCAATGGATGACTAATGTGGATGACTAAAGGTGCTTAAACTGTTTTGGTGTAGGTAAGTCATGTTTATATTGAGGGATGGTGTCAGTGTGGTGATGATGGATGTTTGCCGTCTGATTGGCAGCTGCCCACCTGTTGCCGTGGTGTTGGCCCGGAAACGGATGGCAGGGGAGCGAGTGGAGACCTGTGATTCGCTGGACTTTGATGTGGTGGAGGTGGCAGACACTATGGGTTGGCAGCTGGGTCTGGTGAAGAGAGGCCTCAGACAACTACAGTGGGCCACAAACAGAGGTGTGTGTGTGTGAGCGAGCATAGTCAAAAGATGGGTATGATTACAAATATAATATTGTATCACACAGAATTGAAAGTGTCTGTGTGAGTGTGTTACATTTGGATAAAAGAGACTAATAATGATACATTTCTTATCTCGATATCATACATCTCCTGTCTTCTCCAGGAGTCTTGGTGGAGTTCTCCAACCTGTCCTTCTACTTCCGTTCCTATGGTGACTTGACCCCAGATGAGATGGACCGGGTGTGTGAGTTCCTCCATGACAGGGTGGTGGCCCAGGAGAGGACCAAGCTGTACCAGCTCAAAGCCTGCTTCAAGGCCTTCCGCAGGTCAGCACCGACCTACACTACACCACTATTCAGAACTCATACCAACACTAGGTTACACTCCAACAGTATTATAGCAACTAATTGGACCATAGAGGAAAGTCCTGGTTACCAGAGTTAGCATGGCCTAGGAGGTTATTATTGGAGCTGTTAACCCAATGGTGCTTTGAGGATGTTTTGAAGACATTTCTAGATGAGTTTATGCTACTGTACATCTTTCAGTTGACGTTTATTACTCTGTACGTAGAACGGTCTCGGTCTGCAGTACAGAGTTCTGTTTTTGATAAGGGCCACACTGTATGTCTCTCTGCAGCGTCGCATACAAGAGCTGCAGTTTCTGCACGGACGAGCTGGACGAGAGCCGAAGCCTGAAGCTGAAAGGGCTTCTGGGGGATTACTTTGACAAGAGGAGAGAACTGGACCTGAGCAGGAAGTTCCAGGAGGAGAAGGATGGAGGGGACGAGGAGGTGTTGATGAAATGCAAGGTTCGTGTCTCCTAAGATTCCCTGATGGTTTTTACCAAGTGTAAGTGAAGCTATTGCCTTTATCTAATTCTAAATTTAATAAAGTACCCTTATGATGAATTACCTAATAGAGCAGAATCTGGTAAAACAGGACTTTCCCATTTTAGAAGAACGTAGTGAGTTTACAATATTTCCACACTTTATATTTTATATCCTAAGTTTATACTATACCTTTTTTTTATTATGTGAAATTGTTCTGTTTTTACTGTGTGGATTATGTGTAAATTATTTTGTCTAAATTCTGTCTGTATATTCTGTTTGTTGTCAGCACCATTTCACCAGGTCAAACTCCTGCCTAGTAAATGTACTTCGCCAATGAAGGTGATTTGTGATTCTGATGTGTTTGTGTTTGTCTTCAGATGAAGGACTGGGAGGGTCAGATCAGAGCAGATATTCAGAGTTTCCTGGGCAACCGCAGTGACGAGAAGTTCTCTGGCAGAGCCATCGCCAGAATATTCTATGGAATCGGTGAGTTTTCCCATTTTTGAGAACACCTAGAACTGCTTCAGGGTGTTATGGTACAGTATGTTGGATCCTTGTCTCTAGCGGGGTGGCTTATTTAGTGCCATGTGTTTGAACTGTATGGGCGCAGTCGTGCCGTTTTTGATGCAGTCCACTGCACCCTGCAGACATTGCATACATTGTGGGAGGCTCAATCATTAGTGTTTTTGCCTGACCCACACAAACTTGGCCAAAGACGTGACTGAAACAGGAACCAACGTTTTGGCCGTGATCCATAGCTACGCTGCGATAGTGCGGGCCTAAGACTATACAATGTGATATTTCAGATCTCTCTCTAACCTATTGATTGTTTTCAGTGTGTGATACAGGAGGGGGGAGGGGGGGTAGATAAAAGTTTATTTAGAAAAACCTATAAACAATGGCAGCTATGTTGACACTGCCAAGTTGAAATAAGACTTGATTTTGGAAAGGCACTACAGTGTCCGTCTGCTTTAGTAAGTCAACTGGAACACCCTCTATAGTGTTAGTACGTCAACTGGAACACCCTCTATAGTGTTAGTACGTCATCTGGAACACCCTCTATAGTGTTAGTACGTCATCTGGAACACCCTCTATAGTGTTAGTACGTCATCTGGAACCCCCTCTATAGTGTTAGTACGTCAACTGGAACCCCCTCTATAGTGTTAGTACGTCATCTGGAACACCCTCTATAGTGTTAGAACGTCAACTGGAACACCCTCTATAGTGTTAGTACGTCAACTGGAACACCCTCTATAGTGTTAGTACGTCAACTGGAACCCCCTCTATAGTGTTAGTACGTCAACTGGAACCCCCTCTATAGTGTTAGTACGTCAACTGGAACCCCCTCTATAGTGTTAGTACGTCAACTGGAACACCCTCTATAGTGTTAGAACGTCAACTGGAACACCCTCTATAGTGTTAGTACGTCAACTGGAACACCCTCTGTAGTGTTAGTACGTCAACTGGAACACCCTCTATAGTGTTAGTACGTCATCTGGAACACCCTCTATAGTGTTAGTACGTCAACTGGAACCCCCTCTATAGTGTTAGTACGTCAACTGGAACCCCCTCTATAGTGTTAGTACGTCAACTGGAACACCCTCTATAGTGTTAGTACGTCATCTGGAACACCCTCTATAGTGTTAGTACGTCAACTGGAACACCCTCTATAGTGTTAGTAAGTCATCTGGAACACCCTCTATAGTGTTAGTACGTCAACTGGAACACCCTCTATAGTGTTAGTAAGTCATCTGGAACACCCTCTATAGTGTTAGTACGTCAACTGGAACACCCTCTATAGTGTTAGTAAGTCATCTGGAACACCCTCTATAGTGTTAGTACGTCAACTGGAACACCCTCTATAGTGTTAGTAAGTCATCTGGAACACCCTCTATATTTTGTTTCCAGGAAGTCCATGTTACCCAGCTCAGACCTTCGGCAGAGACCAGAGATACTGGAGAAAATACATCCAGTTTGATTTCAATGAAATCATCCGCTTTGCTATTCAGGAGATAATTCGATTCAAGTGATCAAATACTTACTCTATCTAAATTTGTTATAAATAATGTAGTAAAAAAAATATAAAAAAATACATTCTTACCTCATCAACATGCAATAATAAATAAATATATATATATATATATATATATATATATATATATATTATTACATGTTGATTATTGCATTATGGAAGTAGAAAGTTGCCAGACAAAGACCGTTGCAATAACCCATGTTTTTGATTTAATCTAGTAAGAAATAAATAAATGACTGTTTTATGGTATGGCTTCTGTATTTTATGTTTGTTTGGTGTACTGTACATTTCATGTAATGTTGTTTTGTATGCCCATTTAATAAAATTATTTTTGTATGACATGTAAGGGTGAGTGCTTGATGTTATTGACACTTGTGTATGCTCAGAACACCTTGGTTTCAGTCAAAGGTTGACTGAGTTTTACAATATGGGTCAAGTGCATTGCATTATTGTAGTAGCTATGTAATACATGAACTCATGCTTAGAGTCCCAGGTGTAGCAGGGAACAGTAGGTTAATCCTTCCTTGTTTCCTGATAGGAGTCCAATCTCATTGGCTAATGCCCTGGGGAGAAAAACACATTTCAGGAAATACAGTGAGCTCCAAAAGTATTGGTACAGTTCATTTTGTTTTTGTTTTTTGGCTCTGTACTCCAGCACTTTGGACTTGATGATGATACAGTGACTATGAAGTTAAATACTGTCAGCTTTAATTTGAGGGTTTTTTCATCTATATCGGGGGAACAGTTTAGAAATTACAGCACTTTTTGTACGTAGTCCCCGTCCCATTGGAGTCACTGTTATTATGAATAGAATGTTTCTAAACACTTCTACATTTAATGTGGATGCTACGGATAATCGCACTTCTACATTAATGTGGATGTTACGGATAATCTTGAATAAATCGTGAATAATGATTAATGAGAAAGTTAGACACACAAATATTATTAGAGAGCTAAAACAACAACAAAAAATGGCACTGTCCCAATACTTTTGGAGCTCGCTGTAGATGGCTGGAATGAGGAAGTAAAAAATGTGAACATGCAAAAGAGACTCTCCCATTGTATCACCGTTGGTTTATATGTATTCAAGAGAACTCTTTAGTTTAAATGTATTTAAGATGACTCTTTAGTTTATATGTATTCAAGATTACTCTTTGGTTTTGAAATATCTGTGCTTGGAATTTCTTGAGTAAGCAGGTCTATCTTGATAATCTATTAAAAATACACTGTTTCGTATTTTATGGAAATATAAAATAAATGTGTAAGTAAAAAGAAAGTCTAACAATGTTCTCAGATATAGACCTGAACTCAACTGACGATTTAACTCAGGGCCTGGGTCACATGGTATTCCAGTATTGCACCTTTGTTGCTGCAGACTGGTGCAGTATGTGTTCAACTTTTATGATGGAATAATGCCACGGTTACCTACAGTGAGTGACCTAATCCATGAAACACATTGTAAACACTTCAACTTAGGGAGTTGTGAAAAATGTATTGTGAGGTTTACAGTACCTTGACGAACCCTGTTGCAGTTAGAGGATCTGTGTTGGTCATGTGTCTTCTGACCCTACAAGAGTAGTTTCACTTTGCTTTAAGTAGCAGATAGATAGTATTACTTTTTTTGTCTGTAAGTGGTGGTGGTGACCACAAAGTGAGGACAACGTCGGATGAAATGACTGCACTGCAGGCTAACTATCAGTTACATTTTGGTCATTTAGCAGACGCTCTAATCCAGAGCGATTTACAGGAGCAATTAGTGTTAAGATTAGTTCAGAACAACCTCTACATCACTGTAATGTAACTACTGCTGACTTAGGTTTCTGCCAACTTAGGTAACACAGTCTTGAAGAAAGAGTTGTGCATAGGTAATGAGAACATCTAGTACTATCATCACTGGACTACCACACTATTATATGGAGATATCATTTAAAAACATGTATGTATGTACAGTTTAAGTCGGAAGTTTACATACACCTTAGCCAAATACATTTAAACTCAGTTTTTCACAATTCCTGACATTTAATCCTAGTACAAATGCCCTGTCTTAGGTCAGTTAGGATCACCACTTTATTTTAAGAATGTGAAATGTCAGAATAATAGTAGAGATAATTATTTCTTTCAGCTTTTATTTCTTTCATCACATTCCCAGTGGGTCAGAAGTTTACATACACTCAATTAGTATTTGGTAGCATTGCCTTTTAAATAGTTTAACTTGGGTCAAATGTTTCGGGTAGCCTTCCACAAGCTTCCCACAATAAGTTGGGTGAATTTTGGCCCATTCCTCCTGACAGAGCTGGTGTAACTGAGTCAGGTTTGTAGGTCTCCTTGCTCGCACACGCTTTTTCAGTTCTGCCCACAAATGTTCTATAGGATTGAGGTCAGGGCTTTGTGATGGCTACTCCAATACCTTGACTTTGTTGTCCTTAAGCCATTTTGCCACAACTTTGGAAGTATGCTTGGGGTTAATGTCCATTTGGAAGTCCCATTTGTGACCAAGCTTTAACTTCCTGACTGATGTCTTGAGATGTTGCTTCAATATATCCACATAATTTTCCTTCCTCATGATGCCATCTATTTTGTGAAGTGCACCAGTCCCTCCTGCAGCAAAGCACCCCCACAGCATGATGCTGCCACTCCCGTGCTTCACGGTTGGGGTGGTGTTCTTCAGCTTGCAAGCTACCCCCTTTTTTCTCCAAACATAACAATGGTTATTATGGCCAAACAATTATATTTTTGTTTCATCAGACCCGAGGACATTTCTCCAAAAAGTACAATCTTTGTCCCCATGTGCAGTTGCAAACTGTAATCTGGCTTTTTTATGGCGGTTTTGGAGCAGTGGCTTCTTCCTTGCTGAGCGGCCTTTCGGGTTATGTTGATATAGGACTCGTTTTACTGTGGATATAGATACTTTTGTACCTGTTTCCTCCAGCATCTTCACAAGGTCCTTTGCTGTTGTTCTGGGATTGATTTGCACTTTTCGCACCAAAGTACGTTCATCTCTAGGAGACAGAACGCGTCTCCTTCCTGAGCGGTATGACGGCTGCGTGGTACCATGGTGTTTGTACAGATGAACGTGGTACCTTCAGGCGTTTGGAAATTGCTCCCAAGGATGAACCAGACTTGTGGAGGTCTACACATTTTTTTTCTGAGGCCTTGGCTGATTTTATTTTGATTTTCCCATGATGTCAAGCAAAGAGGCACTGAGTTTGAAGGTAGGCCTTGAAATACATCCACAGGTACACCTCCAATTGCATCATTATATTGAAAATTATATTGAGGCGGCAGGTAGCTTAGTGGTTAAGAGCGTTGTGCCAGTAACCGAAAGGTCGCTGGTTCTAATCCCCGAGCCGACTAGGTGAAAAACCTGTCGATGTGCCCTTGAGCAAGGCACTTAACCCTAATTGCTCCTGTAAGTCGCTCTGGATAAGAGCGTCTGCTAAATGACCAATTTATTATTTATTTATTATTGTCTCAAATTATGTCAATTAGCCTATCAGAAACTTCTAAAGCCATGAAATCATTTTCTGGATTTTTCCAAGCTGTTTAAAGGCACAGTCAACTTAGTGTATGTAAACTTCTGACCCACTGGAATTATGATACAGTGAAATAATGTCTGCAAACAATTGTTGGAAAAATTACTTGTGTCATGCACAAAGTAGACTTGCCAAAACTATAGTTTGTTAACAAGAAATTTGTGGAGTGGTTGAAAAACAAGTTTTAATGACTCGAACCTAAGTGTATGTAAACCTCCGACTTCAACTGTATGTGTATCTGATTATTATTATTTTTATATATATAATGATGCCCATTTTGAGAAGTTGTACAGCTGTATTTTTTTATAACTCAAGATAAGATTTATTGTCTCTGACTGAACTTTGTCAGGTAGCATGCATTCACTGAATGATGAGCTATATTCATTTGCTTGCTGTCTTTGGCAACCTTGTTGTATGGAGATGGTCTATGAAACAAAATAAATATAATTTTTAATGTATGCCTATGGGAAAATGATGGCAAAATGTGAATCATAATGTTGTGTTTTTTTAATATTAACCATAATGATGTTCATGTTTTATTTTTATAAGATGATTATCAGTTGATGACTGAGGTTTAAAAAATACTTATTAGTCGCCAAAGTACCAGAGCATGTCTTTAAGTTGATTGAACTTAGAGTACATACATTTTGTAACTCCAATTTTTTTTGTTACATAAACATTCCATAATCAATATTTTCAAGCTGTTGCTACTTTAAAAGTATATTTTCCAAACGTAATCTTTTTTGGTGCAGTTAGCGTATTTCTTTGTTTCTCCCAACTACAAAGACACTACAACTTCAGATTCAATTAACAATAGCATAAGAGAGAATTCATTAGGGAACATTTAATGCTCCCATCTCAATAAGCTCTCTCACTGCAGAATTAGACGTTTATCCACATTTCTCCAAACACCACATTTTGAAATTAAGGTTTTGGATAGGTTTAAAATATTAAAGGGGAACTCTACTCAAAAACGATATTTTGGAATTGTTTTCATTAGTCCACTTAATACAGTCCCAAAAATGTTTTGCATGCCAGCAGTCAAGTTTTCAAGATATTGGCCTTTCAAGAAGCATAGAGTCACCGGCAACAAATTGCACATCAAACTAGAACATTTCTCATCAACTCACACTGTTGAACCCAAATGTGCCATCAAAAAAATTATTTACAAAAATAGCACATTGGGGTTTACAGTGTGAGTTGATGAGAAATGTTCTAGTTTGATGTGCAATCTGTTGCATTTAAAGTTACCAGAGAGAAAAGAGACCATTTTAAATAAAAAGTAATTCGTTAAAAGAAAAGTGGAAGGCAAAAGAGCAGGTTCTCCAGCACCCCTAGGGCTCTCTCTGTGTATGTGCCTGAAGAGCAGTGAGAGAGACTACTGCCTCCTGGGAGATTTTGTTCCAGGTATTGTATGTCTGATTAAACTGTGTAGGCCAGGGTTCTTCAATTCCGGTCCTGGAGGGCCGAAACACCTCTGTTTTTCATCCTCTCCTTCTAATCAGGGGCTAATTCAGACCTGGGACACCAGGTGAGTACAATTAACTACCAGGTAGAAATAAAAAACAGAAGTGTTTCGGCCTTCCAGGACCGGAATTGAAGAACCCTGGTGTAGGCCTAGATAACAAGATCTGTTTGGCTGTTTCTTCTTTTTACAGGCATAAACAAGAGATCTAGATTGACTTTTTAAACAGCTGAGAGAGACGATGGCGTTTGTCATAAACTAACCCAATTCTCTTTGACCTGTATCAGCAAGATACTGGATCTGTGACCTGTCATATTATTTCATTTTTTGGGGACACCTGAAAATGAGATTTAATCCTGCAAAATGTCTAATAAATAAATAAAATCAATAGGTTGAAAGAAATTCAGCCTATAGCAAAGATCCTTTTAACTAACTCCCTTTTCATCTGCAGTTCTAGTTGCTTAGCCTACAATGTGTGATGAGTGTGTCTTGTTGCAGAAAGTTAGGAACTTTTTTTTTTTTTTTTTTTTTTTTTATGTGGAGAATTTGTCTACAGAAGCAGTAGAAAAATATTTTTCATGAATGAAATGAATGTCTAATTATTCATTTTCTTATTTTACATGGCATTTTTTCACTTTGAGCACAACCCTGCTGAACATGACTTTATTTTATCCAAATATGTTAAAAGTGACATAGGTGGCAAACTACTGTAGGTCTACTTTGGGTACCTCAGTTGGATGTTCATAATCACACTTACACCCAAAGACCCTTCAAACAGCTTCATGTTTGACTTGGAGACAGGTGATCTTCCCCTCAAATCCTGCTGACCATTGACACAAGGATATGTTTGGTAGTCCCCCCAACACCTGCCAGACCAGTCTCACCTGGCCCGGTAGGCCCCCCAACACCTGCCAGACCAGTCTCACCTGGCCCGGTAGGCCCCCCAACACCTGCCAGACCAGTCTCACCTGGCCCGGTAGTCCCCCCAACACCTGCCAGACCAGTCTCACCTGGCCCGGTAGTCCCCCCAACACCTGCCAGACCAGTCTCACCTGGCCCGGTAGTCCCCCCCAACACCTGCCAGACCAGTCTCACCTGGCCCGGTAGTCCCCCCCCAACACCTGCCAGACCAGTCTCACCTGGCCCGGTAGTCCCCCCAACACCTGCCAGACCAGTCTCACCTGGCCCAGTAGTCCCCCCAACACCTGCCAGACCAGTCTCACCTGGCCCGGTAGTCCCCCCAACACCTGCCAGACCAGTCTCACCTGGCCCGGTAGTCCCCCCAACACCTGCCAGACCAGTCTCACCTGGCCCGGTAGTCCCCCCAACACCTGCCAGACCAGTCTCACCTGGCCCGGTAGTCCCCCCAACACCTGCCAGACCAGTCTCACCTGGCCCGGTAGTCCCCCCAACACCTGGCCAGGTCTCTGATGCGGTGGAGGGTGAAGTCATCAGTCCATTAATCATTGTGAGTAGGTTCAGGAGTTTCTCTTTAGTCATGGTAAGGAAAAACTCTTGGCCCTAAATATGAGACCCAATCATCCAGTCACATGGTCGCTGCATATGTTGAATGATGTCCATGGAAAGTACTTTTAGTCCACAGTGGTTATACATGGAGAATGGGGCCTCTGAATTGATTCATCAATAAACGTCCTCAACTGTTTGTGTTGGCTGTTTCTAAAAAATAATCAATTCATTTATTATACATTTTTTACAAAAAGGTTCTGTAGAAATGTGTATTATTTGTTTTGACATCCCTTTCCACACTGTCAGTAATGCATTGTCGTTACATCATGTTTATCCATTTTCCCAATACACAATCTGTTAGTAAATGGGAATGTTAGCTAATAGATTAGATATCTTCACCACTGGAGAGATAGCAGGCAGAAATATATTCCCATGAAGGGTCATCATCAGGGTATTGGTGGCCATTGAGGATGTAAGTGAATCACTTTGCAGTTGCCACAAATATTTTGCTTGTATTCCTAGCAACAGGTCTTATTGACATAAAAACTCTTGCCATTATTTCAATATGGTCAGCTGATGCTGAGTGTACATTGAAGACCGGTGATTTGGACCTGTACCCCTTTATTCAGGTGAACTGCAATGGTTTCCTATTTATGGACGGGTAGAGGAGCGCAACTCGCCTCTGGACCAATCAAAGGCGAGCTACCAGGTGAAGGAAATCTCTAACTTAGCTGATTATAGAGACCTGTATGGTGAACTAAAAACCGTGTGTGGACTGCATCTGCGCCACTCAGAATCAACTCTTCCTATAAACTCACTGTTTTTGCACTTTATTTTATTTTTTTAAAGAGGGTTTATATTTTTATAGAACAATGGAAACTACATATAGGTATTTTCCCGTTATTCTCCTGTATCTGAGTTTGAGCCTATTCAGCTATGCGTGGTGTTCACCTGTGGATGTATATGGGAAAGTGGTGGAGCTCGTGTCGCCAGGAGAGGAATACTTGGATGAAATGTCAGTTCGCTCCTTTTTCAAACTGTTAGAGAAGCGTGTGCAGTGCCCTGGTGTGTCGTGTGAAAAGGTAACTTTTTTTTCTTACACTCGCTTCAACTTGGTTTTAGGAAAGGTCGAGGTCCAATCTGCAGCTGTCACTGTGCCGTGCGCTACATATAATGGTATACAGCGCTGTCAGATAATGGAATACAGCGCTGTACATTTTGGCATAGTGCTTTTACAGACTTAGCTTGTTAAACCTACATCTGTATTTTTTTATTGACCAGTCTCGAACCAAGTCTTTTATTTATTAATTATTGATACATATATCGTGAGCATTGAGCAATTTAAAACTTTAATGCGTGCCCCATTATAATAATTATGATTATAACAATAGTGATTATTGCTATTATTACATTGGTATTATAGAGAGATTACACGATGTGAGCATTGCAGATAGTTTGTACCAGATTTTTGTAACTGGATTTATTCAATCCATTATGTTCTACCAATGATGTAAAACACCTGATCAATGTTAAAACAATTCCATGTGTTAGGGTATTATCATAGATTCTAGCAATGACTTAGACTTAAATGGCTTATGTGTAAAAAAACTTTTTTTAAATGCATAGCCTATCCATTACAATGATATAACCCCGATATAATATTTGAATCCCCAATGAATTTGAAAGTCGTGGTTGTATCACCCTTTACTGCAGCTTGTTTAAACGTCTTAATGATTGGGCATTCTGTTTTACTTAAAATTAAGAAATTCATTGTAAAACATTTTTTTTACCCTGTCCATCATGCACCACAAATACTCCAATAACTGTTCATTTTGGTTTCCTTTTATTACAAAAAAAAAAAATCCATTATTCTCTTGTTCAGACATTGAAGGCCTTGGACTTTACCATGGCAGGTGTAATCTGCCCTTGTGACCATGTAGAGGAAGTCACATGTTATGTGAGAGATGTGTTATAGATTGGCCAAACATGTTTGGGACTAACACTAATGATCAGTATTTAGACAGCGTGTTCTGCTAATGCAACAATGGCTTGAGATCGTACTCATGTGTGGTGATGATACTGGAGAATCAGGAAAAAGATGCTGGAGAATCAGGAAAAAGATGCTGGAGAATCAGGAAAAAGTATCTGTGCACTTCCAGTCAGATGCACATTTATTTTAATGGAGGCTGAGCTTTCGGTCAGTTGACCTTCATCAAGCTCAGCCTCTTTTAAAAGAAACGTCCATCTGACTTGAAATGTGCTGAGACTTTTTTTCTGTTTCTCCAGTTTAGCATTTTGCCTCCAGCACCTTAACTAATCGGTTCTGGGTTTGTGGTAGAGTCTGTACAGTATCATGTTTTAGATAATAGGCAAAGTCACTATGTCCTGACTCAAAAAGCCAGAGCATAGCTGTTTTAAAGATCAGAAAATTAGATTTTTATGTCGCACATTCACCCAACCCAAACTCCTTTACCTTTGTGGTCATAATGACTGCCTACACAAGATCTTACGTTGGTTTTCTCTCATAAATTAGGTCTATGTTTGTATTGAGTACATAAATAATCTACATGAAACACTGAAGCCACCCTGCTTGTTTCTAGTGCCTCTCTGTGCAGTCAGTAGACCAGCTGGTGGGTAACATCACCAGCACTGGTGGTCTCCTTCACCAGGAGGGCTTCTTCAGAGTAGCAGCAGGATGCTGCCTCTACCTCAGCTCTCCCTCAGAGGCCTGCTCTGCCGTGAGGGCAGGGAGGTGGGGGGATGAGACGGACCACTTCATCCGTGAGATCACAGGCTATGGGGATGGACACAGAGACATGGAGCGCAGTGGGATAGAGACGCTGCTCCGTAACCTGAAGAAGCACTACAAGCATGATCAGCAGTATGACCAGGTTGGTGCTGCTGTGCTAATAAGAATAAGAATATATTTTTATATACTGTGCCTTCTAAGGTTGTGCAATAGAAACCCAATGAACTACCGTCATCAACAGTTAACTATTTTCCGAACCAACTCATTTGAGTAGATTTTGTTTTTGAACAAAAATATTTATATTCTATTCAACTGTGTATGTCTGTCCCGTGTTTTATCGTGGTCATTTAGCAGTGTCTCACTGGTCAAGACATCTTAGAGGAGAGCAACGTGTCAATGAATGATGGTGGCCCCCACAACATGGATGTGGTGTTTGGATACATAGTTTACCATGCTTTACGAGGTGACTGCATGACTGCCAGTGCACTGCCTGAAGAAGGCTACTTTCTGGATTTCATATTCAACCCCTTCGGTTCTGACAACATTACCGTACACGGTACAGTAAGAAACAACTATTCCTATGTGTACGAAATGTCCATGCTGTAATATTGCCTTATAACAAACGACTATCCCTATTAGTATGAATATTTTTTCTCATACTGTTTAGTCTTATTACACTGTAACGGCATGCTCCTGGCTGTACAGTAACATCAACCTACTCATTAATCCATGTTGTGCCATACATAGTTCATAATTCATTTAGCATGATGCCCTTGTGGGGCTATGCTATTAACGTTACCCTCTAACCCTATGTTAATGTTACCCTCAAACCCAATGCTATTAACGTTACCCTCAAACCCTATGCTATAACCCCATGAAGCCTGGATTATGAGAGTTTATATTGCGTGTTCCCCAATTGCCTGCTAATATATACGCTACCACCATATTACTGTTCCTCAATGGCATGCTAATATACGCTACCACCTTACTACTGTTCCTCAATGGCATGCTAATATACGCTACCACCATATTACTGTTCCTCAATGGCATGCTAATATACGCTACCACCATATTACTGTTCCTCAATGGCATGCTAATATAAGCTACCACCATATTACTGTTCCTCAATGGCATGCTAATATACGCTACCACCATATTACTGTTCCTCAATGGCATGCTAATATACGCTACCACCATATTACTGTTCCTCAATGGCATGCTAATATACGCTACCACCATATTACTGTTCCTCAATGGCATGCTAATATACGCTACCACCATATTACTGTTCCTCAATGGCATGCTAATATACGCTACCACCATATTACTGTTCCTCAATGGCATGCTAATATACGCTACCACCATATTACTGTTCCTCAATGGCATGCTAATATACGCTACCACCATATTACTGTTCCTCAATGGCATGCTAATATACGCTACCACCATATTACTGTTCCTCAATGGCATGCTAATATACGCTACCACCAACTAACCATATCATTCTGATTAATCGCTGTAGAGCTGGAAGGTCTTATGAAGAGCCTGCAACTGGGTGGAATCCACGAAGAGGACCACGATCATGATCACAGAGATCAAGAGGGACACAAAGATGACTATGGTCACGATGACCACGTTGACCATGACCATAGTGACCACAGTACCGTTAGCGGTGGTCGGGGGGGTGGAGGTGGAGGTGAAGCCTTCAGGCAGAGTTGTGAGAAGGGGTACCACCAGAGGAACATCAGCAACTGGGAACTGGTAATTATTATACTCAACCACCATGGTGCATTGTGGGTAATTAGGTCAAGGCCATCGCTTCAATCTCCTAAAGAGACCTTCAGGGGCTTAACGGCGCACACACACACACACACACACACCCAGGCTCCTTCACTCTTACTCATTGTCAGACTTCTAAACCCCTGGTGTCCGCTGCATCTCCAGTGCATTGTAATGAGCCTCAGATGTGCAGTAGATGGCCTGAGCTATTGGCAGCTGTAGGATTCTGCCCATGGTAATATCTATATTAGAGAAATCTTGAATGAGAAGGAATACTGCTGAGGGATAATAACATGTTACTTGTAAGAAATTGGTCCCCACTTTGTGAATGCCCAATGACATCTTACTGTTAGTCAATCAGTTAGCAATAAGGAGTGTCAATTCAAAGAAAAGGCCCATGGGCCCTGGTCAAAAGCTGTGCACTGCAAAGGGAGTTATTTGGGACACAGTCAGATACAGTATTTGGACAGAAGTATATTAATTGAAGAATTTTACATTGACACACGGCACTGCATTTTCAGCTGTAATAATTACCACATCGGGGGGTTTATAAAATACTGCCTGTTTCCTCCATGTAGACGTGTTTCATCCCTGTTTCCTCCATGTAGACGTGTTTCATCCCTGTTTCCTCCATGTAGACGTGTTTCATCTCTGTTTCCTCCATGTAGACGTGTTTCAGCCCTGTTTCCTCCATGTAGATGCGTTTCAGCCCTGTTTCCTCCACGTAGATGCGTTTCAGCCCTGTTTCCTCCACGTAGATGTGTTTCAGCACTGTTTCCTCCACGTATATGTGTTTCAGTCCTGTGTCCTCCACGTAGTCGTGTTTCAACCATGTTTCTTCCATGTAGACGTGTTTCAGCCCTCTTTCCTCCATGTAGACGTGTTTCATCTCTGTTTCCTCCATGTAGACGTGTTTCAGCCCTGTGTCCTCCACGTAGTCGTGTTTCAACCATGTTTCTTCCACGTAGACGTGTTTCAGCCCTCTTTCCTCCATGTAGACGTGTTTCATCTCTGTTTCCTCCATGTAGACGTGTTTCAGCCCTGTTTCTTCCATATAGACGTGTTTCAGCCCTGTTTCCTCCATGTAGACGTGTTTCAGCCCTGTTTCCTCCATGTAGACGTGTTTCATCTCTGTTTCCTCCATGTAGACGTGTTTCAGCCCTGTTTCTTCCATATAGACGTGTTTCAGCCCTGTTTCCTCCATGTAGACGTGTTTCAGCCCTGTTTCCTCCATGTAGACGTGTTTCAGCCCTGTTTCCTCCATGTAGACGTGTTTCAGCCCTGTTTCCTCCATGTAGACGTGTTTCAGCCCTGTTTCTTCCATATAGACGTGTTTCAGCCCTGTTTCCTCCATGTAGACGTGTTTCAGCCCTGTTTCTTCCATGTAGACGTGTTTCAGCCCTGTTTCTTCCATATAGACGTGTTTCAGCCCTGTTTCCTCCATGTAGACGTGTTTCAGCCCTGTTTCTTCCACGTAGTCGTGTTTCAGCCCTGTTTCCTCCATGTAGAAGTGTTTCAGCCCGGAGGAGCTGATAAAGATCCATGGGCTGAATGGATCTAGCCTGTCCAGGTCTGACGTGGCCCGGCTCAGCCCAGCCCTGGTCCAGCAGATCCTCAGTGGGGCCTGCAACAGCACCTCTCCCCCCACTGGACCATCAGATCAGCTCAGCACCACAGAGAGTGAGTTGAGTACTACAGTCCTGGCCACTGTGCTTCTGCCTCTGCATTGCATGCTCTTTGGGGTTTTAGGCTGGGTTTCTGTAAAGTAACCTGCTGATGTAAAAATTGCTTTATTAAATAAATGTGATTGATAATTGCTACAATACACACTAAATTCAACACTCATTCCTTTCCTTTTGATACAGAAAGGCCCATTCCTGCCTCTTTATTTTTTTAATGATAATGGAATTATAGAGAGACTATGCAGAAATAAATGTACTATGTTTATAAATATGAATGCTCCAAAATTCAAACTTGTTAAATTTGATCATTAGGCAAGACTAGAGCCTATTTCATTAGGCAAGACTAGAGCCTATTTCATTAGGCAAGACTAGAGCCTATTTCATTAGGCAAGACTAGAGCCTATTTCATTAGGCAAGACTAGAGCCTATTTCATTAAGCAAGACTAGAGCCTATTTCATTAGGCAAGACTAGAGCCTATTTCATTAAGCAAGACTAGAGCCTATTTCATTAGGCAAGACTAGAGCCTATTTCATTAAGAAAGACTAGAGCCTATTTCATTAGGCAAGACTAGAGCCTATTTCATTAGGCAAGACTAGAGCCTATTTCATTAGGCAAGACTAGAGCCTATTTCAAGCATAATCACACAATGTTTACTGTATTATCTAACAGACCTTCCGTGGCTTGATTTGCTTGAGTACTGCACTGTTATTATATTTCGAACCTCCTTCATGTTAATTATCTCTCTCCATAGAGTATGTGTATGCCACCATAGCCAATCTGCTGATCTGTCTGGCCGCCCTGGTTGGCGTTATGGTGGTGCTGTGTACCTCCTGCAGCAGTGTCTTCCAGCTCGTCATCCAGTTCTGTGTCAGCCTGGCCGTGGGCTCCCTCACTGGGGACGCCCTGTTGCACCTCCTGCCTATGGTGAGCACCACAGTACCCTATTCACATTACTGAGCCCAGCTGATTCAAGCTGAGCTGTACTGTGCTGGCTTGGTTATGCACCCATCATAGTTTCTGGAAACGTGCTGGAATGTACAATGTGAAAAGAAAACTACTTATCTAGCCAGCCAGACCTCTTCCTCCTCAACTCTTCATTAAAGGGTTGTGGTTAATGTCAGTGCGACCCAATGATCAGCCAGATGTCTGAGGGACCTTATGATTAGTCCGAGCAACACACAGTCCCCCAGGGCAGAAGTCTGGAGGGGATACTTCCTGCTGCTGCAGCTCAATCCATTTAGATCCATCATGTCAACATCGCAGGGCAAAGTATTAGCAGGCTGTCACACCCTATCATCACCTACAGTATAAAATAATAACGATGTGATTATGGAACAAGAACGACACCCTCAGATCGGGAAGACAGAGAAATGTCCCCCTGTTGCTTCAGGGAATCTTGGGGCATTACAAGATAAGAGCAACATAACACTGTGTCCCAATGGTCCGACATGGCTTCTTGTCCTCCTCTCCTTCACAACCACTTATTGAGAGGACTTGATTGGTGAAAGCAATATGGTGGATAGGTACTGGTCTCCACTCTAGACTTTCATCTGTCAGTAGTTAGTGAAGGAGGCCATTTCAGAGTAATGGACCCTGCACAGGTTGATTGCATCGCCAGTATAATAATAAATCATATAATATGCCATTTAGCAGACGCTTTTATCCAAAGCGACTTACAGTCATGTGTGCATACATTTTTAGTATCTGGTCTTGTGTATTGGGGGTTACACTTCACTTGAACCTGCCTTCATAAGAGTTACATAACACTTTCATAACACTGTCATGACAATGACATAACACTGTCATGACAATGACATAACACTGTCATTACAATGACATAACACTGTCATTACAATGACATAACACTGTCATAACAATAACATAACAGATGTCTTTGGGCTGACTGTGTCTGACCGGGTTGTGACCGTGTTTCCTCTGTTGGTTCAGTTCCTAGGCCTCCATGTTCACAGTGAAGGAACAGACCACAGCCACTCAGAGGAGGTTCCAGACTACATCTGTAAGATACTGGTGCTGATTGCTGGCATCTACTGCTTCCATCTCATGGAGACTATATTCTCCATCGTCACCACACACAAGGACAGCCATCACCATTCCCCACATCACCATGGGGTGAGTAGTGTCTATCACCTGGGCTGTGTTCAGTAGGGGCACAACGTAGCAAAAAAATTTTGCAACAGGAACAAAAACTTGTGTTCTTATTGGACAAGGTCAGGTGGTACTTTCCCATTTCACACTGTTTCTAAACCTTATCTTCTTACTGAAAACCACTGTTCTGTCAGCTTACTGGTTTGGTGGATCCATGGTGAAAATAACTCCCACACACGTACACTTGCAATACACCTTTGATAAAGTGCAACGTTTCGGTCACAGAAATTCGTCAGGTCTTACTGGTTCCAAAAATGTGAGAATTGTTAGCTATCACAGGTCTGCTCTGTGTTGTGATGTTCTGAGCACAGACGTATACAGTCTCAGTCAAAAGTTTGGACACACCTACTCATTCAAGGGTTTTTCTTAATTTTTTACTATTTTCTACATTGTAGAATAATAGTGAAGACATCAAAGCTATGAAATAACACATACGGAATCATGTAGTAACCAAAAAAGTGTTAAACAAATCAAAATATATTTGAGATTCTTCAAATAGCCACCCTTTGCCTTGATGAGAGCTTTGCACACTCTTGGCATTCTCTCAACCAGCTTCACCTGGAATGCTTTTCCAACAGTCTTGAAGGAGTTCCCACATATGCTGAGCACTTGTTGGCTGATTTTCCTTCACTCTGCCATCCGGCTCATCCCAAACCATCTCAATTGGGTTGAGGTCTGGGGATTGTGGAGGCCAGATCATCTGATGCAGCACTCCGTCAATCTTTTTCTTGGTAAAATAGCCCTTAAACCGCCTATAGGTGTGTTGGGTCATTGTCCTGTTGAAAAACAAATGATAGTCCCTCTAAGCCCAAACCAGATGGGATGCATATCGCTGCAGAATGCTGTGGTAGCCATGCTGGTTGAGTGTGCCTTGAATTCTAAATAAATCACAGACAGTGTCACCAGAAAAGCGCCCCCACACCATAACACATCCTCCTCCATAGTTTACGGTGAGAACTACACATGCGGAGATTATCCATTCACCCACACAGCGTCTCACAAAGACACGGCGGTTGGAACCAAAAATCTCAAATTTGGACTACAGACCAAAGGACACATTTCCAATGGTCTAATGTCCATTGCTCATGTTTCTTGGCCCAAGCAGGTCTCTTCTTCTTATTGGTGTCCTTTAGTAGTGGGTTCTTTGCAGCAACTCGACCATGAAGGCCTGACTGAACAGTTGATGTTGAGATGTGTCTGTGACTTGAACTCTGTGAAGCATTTATTTGGGCTGCAATTTCTGAGGCTGGTAACTCTAATGAACTGATCCTCTGCAGCAGAGGAAACTCTGGGTCTTCCATTTCTGTGGCGGTCCTCATGAGAGCCAGTTTCATCATAGCGCTTGATGGTTTTTGCGACTGCACTTGAAGAAACTTTCAAAGTTCTTGACGTTTTCTGTATTGACTGACCTTCATGTCTTAAAGTAATGATGGACTGTCGTTTTGTCTTTGCTTATTTGAGCTGTTCTTGCCATAATATGGACTTGGTCTTTTACCAAATAGGGCTATCTTCTGTATACCCACCCTACCTTGTCACAACACAAACACATTAAGATGGAAATCAATTCCACAAATTAACTTTTAAGAAGGCACACCTGTTAATTGAAATGCATTCCAGGTGACTACCTCATGAAGCTGGTTGAGAGAATGCCAAGAGTGTGCAAAGCTGTGATCAAGGCAAAGGGTGGCTATTTGAAGAATCTCAAATATAAAATATATTTTGATTTGTTTAACACCATTTTGGTTACTACATGATTCCATATGTGCTATTTCATAGTTTTGATGTCTTCAGTATTATTCTACAATGTAGAAAATAGTAAAAATAAAGAAAAACCCTTGAATGAGTAGATGTGTCCAAACTTTTGACTGGTAGTGTACATTGTGTCATTGTGTTTCCAGGAGGAGTCTGAGCCCCATCACTGTGACCATGGTAAAGTCCTGAAGATGCACATGCAGGAGAAAAAGAACAAGCAGTCCGTATCACAGACTGACCTGGTAGGTTCTGTACCAGTTATTCACAGACTGACCTGGTAGGTTCTGTACCAGTTATTCACAGACTGACCTGGTAGGTTCTGTCCCAGTTATTCACAGACTGACCTGGTAGGTCTGTACCAGTTATTCACAGACTGACCTGGTAGGTTCTGTACCAGTTATTCACAGACTGACCTGGTAGGTTCTGTACCAGTTATTCACAGACTGACCTCGTAGGTTCTGTACCAGTTATTCACAGACTGACCTGGTAGGTCCTGTACCAGTTATTCACAGACTGACCTGGTAGGTTTTTCCACCAGTTATTCACAGACTGACCTGGTAGGTTCTGTACCAGTTATTCACAGACTGACCTGGTAGGTTTTTCACCAGTTATTCAGACACACCTGTGATGTTCAAACAGAGGTCAGACAGAGGTCCATGACTGAACAGCCAGTATCCTAGTAAAGCTGTGTTTTTACCCGACACAGTATGTAGTCTTAAGTCTTTACTACCCGTGTCTCTGAACACCTTGTCCCCCACTAAACCATTCACACCTGCTGTAATTCACATGCTATACTTCTGTGATGTTCTGATCCCGAAAGGTTGAAAGTGAGCGCAGTGAGGACACAGAGAAAGCCTTTCCAGAACCAAACCAGCGCTCAAGAGGTAAGATGGACAACCTGGGTCAACATATAACCTGTTCAGAAGAGGTGAAATATAGGTCAGGGTCTGATGGTCAGGGCGTTCACTGGAAAGCTGTTATACAGTAAAGTTACTGTGTGAGTCAAGTCTAGTCAATGATTACACACATCCAGCATGACAAAGAGTAATGTGCATCAGAGAGCTGTGTTCACTTACACGAGGAACAGTAATAAAGGGATTCGTTACTACAGGGACGAAACATTTTAGCTGCAGATGCAACCAAAATCACCCCGTCATCATTGTAAATGATAATATAAACAGTGACAATAATTTTTTTTATCTGATGTGATTAAAATGAGACATCATTCTTTATGTAATCTTTATAAACAATTCAAGCACAATATTCAACAGTGTAGTTGTAGCCACTCTACAGTATAACCACTTGCTTGCCAGTGTGGGTATCTGTACTTTACTATTTCTATTTTTGCCAACTTTTACTTAAATAATAATAATAATAAAATAATATAATATGCCATTTAGCAGACGCTTTTATCCAAAGCGACTTACAGTCATGCGTGCATACATTTTTTGTGTATGGGTGGTCCCGGGGATCGAACCCACTACCTTGGCGTTACAAGCGCCGTGCTCTATCAGCTGAGCTACAGAGGACCACTTGTGCCACTTCACTACATTCCTAAAGAAAATAATGTACTTTTTACTCCATACATTTTCCTTAACACCCAAAAGTACTCGTTACATTTTGACAAGAAAATGGTACAATTGATGCACTTCATCAAGAGAACATCCCTGGTCATCCCTACTGCTTCTGATCTGGTGGACTCACTAAAAACAAATGCTTTGTTTGGAGCGTGCCCCTGGCTTTCCGGAAATAAAAAAAACGAAAATTGTCCCATCTGTTTTGCTTAATATAAGGAATTTGAAATGATTTATGCTTTTACTTTTGATACTTAAGTATATTTAACACCAAATACTTTTAGACTTTTACTCAAGTAGAATTTTACTGGGTAACTTTCACTTTTACTTGAGTCATTTTCTATTAAGGTATCTTTACTTTTACTCAAGTATGACAATTTAGTACTTTTTCCACCACTGGTTCCTACAGATGTAGGATCTTAATTTGATCACCCTGTTGTTGCAGGAAATACAAACATGTAGTATATTCAAGGTTTAAAAATACTTCTAAAGTTTGTAATTTCCACTTTAAAATGTCAGACTTGATTTGTCCCAACTAAAAATGTATCAACCCCTACAAAATGTCCATTTAATTATAATCCAAACAATAATACATATTTCCTGTTGCTGCAGGATTATTTTCCTGCTGTGAGAAACTGGTCAAATTAAGATCCTACATCTGTATTCCGTTTTCCAGCCTAATGGCATTGGCTAATCAATAATGCTGTCGTTGTAAAATATGAATTTAGACACATGATTAACAATAGCCAAATTTGACTTTACTTCTTTAGACGACTGAGCCTTTCTCTGAGTTTCCCTTCTGTCTCTCCCCTCCACTAGAACGGCGTCTGCTACCCTACATGGTTACCATAGGGGACGGGATACATAACTTTGCCGACGGCCTGGCTATCGGAGCGGCCTTCTCTGTTTCCTGGAAGTCCGGCCTTGCCACGTCTCTGGCTGTGCTCTGTCACGAGCTGCCTCACGAACTGGGTGAGTGGAGCACCGACTGATGCCTCTAGTTGGCCATGTTGAAAAAGGCTCTTGAGAATGAGACCCATCCACATTGGTACTTCAGATGTTGCTTTATATGAATTAATTTATTTTAAAAAACAATGTTAGATTTGTTTGATTTCAGAACAATATGTTATTTTTCTCAAATAATCAAGTTTTAGAATAGATGAGTAGTACTGGTAGATGATTAGCCACTTCTCTCGCCATCCAGATTCCTATTCACACAATCCCTCCAATGGCATCAACATAGGACCTACATTTTATCACTGACATCCCTTTAAACCTCACCTCTCTGAGTTTTCTCCATCCTACATCTCCCAGGTGACTTTGCTATCCTGCTGCACAGCGGGTTGTCAGTGAAGAAGGCCTTGATGCTGAACGTGGGCAGTGCCCTCACATCCTTCATCGGACTCTACATCGCCCTCACCGTCTCTACTGACCTGGCCACCAAGCAGTGGATCGCGGCCATCACCTCTGGTCTCTTCCTGTATGTGGGTCTGGCTGATATGGTCAGTACACTAGTTTTACCACGTTCTCAAACAGGCTGTACCCTAATGCCCATCTTCCTCTATAAATATTTCTATATTTGGACAAGGAGTTAAATGCAGTGTATCGTCTTGCTCCTTTCTCCCCCCAGCTCCCCACCATGGTGCATGTGGACAACCGTAGGCCCTGGCTCATCTTCCTGCTCCAGAACGTAGGACTGCTGTCTGGCTGGGGCATCCTGCTGCTCCTCTCTCTGTATGAGGAAAAGATTGGCATCTAGAGCCTCCTAGTCCTAACACTGTACAGTACAATACAATGGATTTGTATACAATTACAAATGACACTGTATGTAAGCTATGCTATATTTGACCTGTTTTGATATATTTACTGTAACTTTAAAACGCTTGATAATTCTATATGATACAAGATTTCCTCAAAATGACTTTTCTAGATGATATATGAGATTCTAGTCTAGTTCTGTTGTATCTTACGTATCTAACACATAGAAGTGTAGTCTGTTGGTGTTCAGTATGATCCTGCTGTTGGTGTTCAGTATGATCCTGCTGTTGGTGTTCAGTATGATCCTGCTGCTGGTGTTCAGTATGATCCTGCTGTTGGTGTTCAGTATGATCCTGCTGTTGGATTTCATCTGTATGCGATTAGTTCAAACTGTAATTTATGCCACCGATATTTATAATGGGACTCACAGATCCTCAGGCTACTTCCTCTCTTATTGCCACGTCTTTTGTATAACCACATACCATAACAGTGTGACTGTACAGGGAAGTAGGTAGATGCAATTTGAATTTGTGATCGTATGAAGTGTGAAGTTACCGGTAATGCAGATGTTGACAGTGTATATACATGTGCCACCAATCCCACAAAACCCCACAAAAGTTAGAAAATAAGGTAAGAAAATAATAATTATGATACATGTTGTTTCTGTATATCTTTCCTTGTTTAAATTGAGCACAGCCTTATACTGCGTTATATCTTTTCCGGCTGCAGTATTTTGTCATTCTGTCCCCAGTCTACCACTCAAGAGAATTCCCTGTGAATGGATTCAGGAAATAACCTCCTAGATACTTTATCTGACATGATTAATGACATCGGCAGTTTCACTGTTCAGAGTCCACACTCCAAAGACAGACCGCTCAAGTCCATGGATCGCAACGTCTGACCAATCAGAGGTGGACCGTCATTTTTTAAATATTTGACAGTAGATCACCAATCAGCATGGTGATCTACTGTAGTTTATCTGATTTCCAAGAGAGGGGTTATAAAGAAGGGTTGGTACAGCAAAGTATATCAGCAGAGATGACGGCCATTGTGCGTTCCATTTGATAAAATGGCCATAGTAACAGTCAGAGCAAAGGAGTGGAGGGGCTGTAAGTCAAGGCATTGGAGTGCGTCCCAAATGGCACCCTATTCCCTACATGGTGCACTACTTTTAACCATTCCTGGTCAAAAGTAGTGCACTATATAGGGAATGAAGTATGACCAACAGTAAAGAGTAAGGGCAATAGGGGCGTGGACCTGCATACAGAACGCTCAACACAGGTATGACCATAAGTCCAAGGGAGTCAAGGGGATAAGATGGATCATTTGTGGCCTTGCAATAAATATTTAGAATAATCTCTATGCACACCAGAGCTACAGATAAGATTATAGGTTTAAATCGCTCATCTTTATTGTTGTCAAATAAAATTCTTAAATTAATAGAAAAGATAAGATGCTTGTTTGTTTAGAACCACCACCATATGTCAGTGGCCTAGAGAGTTACATCCAAGCTGTTTAGGCTTGGTTAGACTCTCAGCTTTGGTCCTGTTTTCTCTCAGCTTCGGTCCTGTTTTCTCTCAGCTTCGGTCCTGTTGTCTCTCAACTTCTGTCCTGTTGTCTCTCAGCTTCTGTCCTGTTGTCTCTCAGCTTCGGTCCTGTTGTCTCTCAGCTTCTGTCCTGTTGTCTCTCAGCTTCTGTCCTGTTGTCTCTCAGCTTCGGTCCTGTTTTCTCTCAGCTTCTGTCCTGTTGTCTCTTAGCTTCTGTCCTGTTGTCTCTTAGCTTCTGTCCTGTTTTCTCTTAGCTTTCGGTCCTGTTGTCTCTTAGCTTCGGTCCTGTTGTCTCTCAGCTTCTGTCCTGTTGTCTCTCAGCTTCTGTCCTGTTTTCTCTTAGCTTCTGTCCTGTTTTCTCTTAGCGTCTGACCTGTTTTCTCTTAGCTTCTGTTATGTTTGAAACAAATACTTGAGTTGTGAGTTGATGATACACATTCAATATTAACTTGATAGTAAATTGAGGAATTTGGTTCCGACATGATTGATCAAAAAGTATGATGTTGCTTATAAATAGGGATTTGTTCAAATTGACCACCGGAGGGAGCTCTGAGCCTAATAATGTCATGTCTTACCTTTTGCCTTGAAATTCACACCAGACACATTTACATTTACATTTTAGTCATTTAGCAGACGCTCTTATCCAGAGCGACTTACAGCTAGTGAGTGCATACATTTTTCATATTGGCCCCCCATGGCCACAGAGAGATATACAGTATCACAATAGGATGTTTGTAGGATGTTTTCTTTCCACAGCAATTATAGATGAGGCTTGTCAACTCGTGATGCTAAGACTATAGTGTTATAAATAGTGAGGTAAATTGATATCCTTCACATTTTCTAATATTTTTAAAGAATGTCAGTTCACTGCAGTTACAGCTTTACAGTAACAATTTGACAGTTGATAGAACATTTATGATGGTCCACCTATTATAATTTGCCTGTTTTGCAACTGCAGATGACACGGGCAAAGAAATTCAGCAGAGCATTTCAAACTGTCAGGCTATTCATAAACTCCTCCCTGTCCAATATTCTCCATGTCCAACCTTCTGAAACAAGCATCATAATATGACAATGATGTGACAATACTCTACAAAACAATGTTGACGCAATTGGCAGCGTAGCCGTAGATATGTTATATAACTATTGTGGTAAGCCTGCCAGTCGTCTTTAGAAAGCACCCATTCATTTATTCATAGACAGACTCATGCTTAGCTGTGCAGGATCGAATGTGGAAAAGATAGGCCCTATACAGACATCCAGTAACTTGTTTTAGCTGCCAGATACAGAGGAATATGGTAGGCATGTGACAGAAGGTATGACATTCCATGAGGTTCCTCAGATACAGAGAGAAAGAGCTGAACGAACTATCATGTGAAGAATCTATTTATACATTATGCAAATGCATTGTTATTCATAATTTTAGCAGAACTCCATGTCACCGATGTTGTCTTTGATGTCAACAGGTAAATAACTCATTTATGTTGCTCTAAAGACTGTTTTATTTTGTACTTTACTTTTTATATTTTTCATTTGCACTGTGAGTTGTGCATTGTGGTTGCCTTTGTAAGAACCCTATTGTAAAAAAAGATTACTTTTGACACTGACACTATGTGTTGACATGGAACACTAGTGTCATTCGCTGTTGAAGTATGAGAGTGGGCTGGGGAGGTCCGTGGTGGGCTGGGGAGGTCCGTGGTGGGCTGGGGAGGTCCGTGGTGGGCTGGGGAGGTCCGTGGTGGGCTGGGGAGCTCGGTGGTGGGCTGGGGAGGTCCGTGGTGGGCTGGGGAGCTCGGTGGTGGACTGTGGAGAGTCGTGGTGGGCTGGGGCAGGCCGTGGTGGGCTGGGGAGGTTGGTGGTGGACTGTGGTGGGCAGGGGAGAGCTGCTCCTGCTTCTCCCACATGGGGACACCCTTTGTGTCTGGGTAGAAGTCACAGACTGAGGGTATTAACACCATCCCCTGCCTAACACCCCATCTCCAATGCACACAGTGGCAGGCAGGAACACACACACACACGTAAATCCTTCAGTGTCTCTCTTTCAGTCCTTTTTCATTTTTCGAACCCATTCACTGAAAAACAGCTGTTGTTGCGCACACACACACACACACACACACACGTTTGTTTTACTATCCTTGTGGGGACCAAACAATTGATTCCCATTCAAAGTCTAACCCTTAACCCTAACTCCTAACCCTAAACCCTAAGCCTAAAATAGCCTATTTCCTTGTGGGGACTGTCAAAATGTCCCCACTTGTCAGAATTTTCCTTGTTTTACTATCCTTGTGAGGACTTCTGGTCCCTAGAGGGATAGTAAATCCAAAAAAACACACGTACACGGTTAGTGGGACAGAAACCACAAATTAAGCGTTAAATGAAGAAACAGGTAGCCGTGTTCTCAGGGGAGTGGGGCTCCAGTCTCGATACAAAGGAAAGAGTGTGAGACCAAAGAGTAATTCGCTTCACAGAGACAGACAGGCCCAGCTATGCGCCTCACCACTTCACTAGCCAATTAAAGGTTAGCCCCTCTTATCCCCCTCACCACTTCACTAGCCAATTAAAGGTTAGCCCCTCCTATCCCCCTCACCACTTCACTAGCCAATTAAAGGTTAGCCCCTCCTATCCATCTCACCACTTCACTAGCCAATTAAAAGTTAGCCCCTCCTATCCCCCTCACCACTTCACTAGCCAATTAAAGGTTAGCCCCTCCTATCCCCCTCACCACTTCACTAGCCAATTAAAGGTTAGCCCCTCCTATCCGCCTCACCACTTCACTAGCCAATTAAAAGTTAGCCCCTCCTATCCGCCTCACCACTTCACTAGCCAATTAAAAGTTAGCCCCTCCTATCCCCCTCACCACTTCACTAGCCAATTAAAGGTTAGCCCCTCCTATCCCCCTCACCACTTCACTAGCCAATTAAAGGTTAGCCCCTCCTATCCCCCTCACCACTTCACTAGCCAATTAAAGGTTAGCCCCTCCTATCCCCCTCACCACTTCACTAGCCAATTAAAGGTTAGACCCTCCTGTGTGTGTGTGTGCACATGCCTTTATCACGTGTGTGCATACGCGTGTGCTTATGCGTATATTTGTGCATCTGCTATGTGTGTGTGTGTGTGTGTGTGTGATGCTGGGTAGAGATGTGTGTGTGTGTGGTTCAAATCTAATCAAATCAAATTTTATTTGCCACATGCGCCGAATACAACAGGTGTAGACCTTACAGTGAAATGCTTACTTACAAGCCCTTAACCAAAAATGCAGTTTTTAAGAAAATAAAAAAAAGTCTTAAGTAAAAAATAGCTAATCATTATAGAGCAGCAGAAAAATAAATATAACAGTAGGGAGGCTATATACAGGGGGTACCGGTACAGAGGCAATGTGAGGGGGCACCGGTTAGTCGAGGTAGTTGAGGTAATATGAACATGTGGGTAGAGTTAAAGTGACTATGCATAAATAATAAACAGAGTAGCAGCAGCGTAAAAGGGTGGGGTGGGGGGGGGGGCAATGCAAATAGTCTGGGTAGCCATGATTAGCTGTTCAGGAGTCTTATGGCTTGGGGGTAGAAGCTGTTAAGAAGCCTTTTGGACATAGACTTGGCGCTCCGGTACCGCTTGCCGTGTGGTAGCAGAGAGAACAGTCTATGACTAGGGTGGATGGAGTCTTTGACAATTTTTAGGGCCTTCCTCTGACACCGCCTGGTATAGAGGTCCTGGATGGCAGGAAGCTTGGCCCCAGTGATGTACTGGGCCGTACGCGCTACCCTCTGTAGTGCCTTGCGGTCGGAGGTTGAGCAGTTGCCATATCAGGCGGTGATGCAACCAGTCAGGATGCTCTCGATGGTGCAGCTGTAGAACTTTTTGAGGATCTGAGGACCCATGCCAAATCGTCTCCTGAGGGGGAATAGGCTTTGTCGTGCCCTCTTCACGACTGTCTCGGTATGTTTGGACCATGATAGTTTGTGTGTGACGCTGGGTAGAGATGTGTTTGTGTGTGTGAGTGTTTGTGTGATGCTGGGTAGAGGTGTGTGTGTGTGTGCCCACCTCTGAGGCCTAGTGACAGCCAGAGGAAAGCAGGACTGGGCGGCCCCGGGCCAAGAGTCTGGATGAGGGGGACTCACTCTCCCACAGTCTGAGATTAACATGTGTCAATGTGTGATTGGCTGTTAGGGTTGGGAGACTTGCCCTGTCACTCTGAATTGGCCAGATAGCTTTCCTCTGTCTGATGCTAAACAACCTCAAAGTTTTGTTATTTGATGATCAACTGAAAGCACCAACAGTCTAGTAATCCTACTTGTTCCAGATTGTGTAAAATAGACTGAGTTGGACTTCTCTAAAATGTGATGCTTCATGCTTGCCTAGCTAAGCAAAACCCACTCTCTCCATCCAATTTATTTCTCACTTGAACAAACTTGAAAAACCATGTACCTGCTCCTTGTTCCACAACATTGTATTATATTATAAACTACACTGCCAGGAAGTATGAGCATATCTAAATCATCAATCTAATCCCTGTACAGCCAAAACACACTATCTCCCCATTCCTCACTGTAGCCTGTCTCCTTAGCACAAGATTTATGCCTGGTAACGTTACGATGATAAGTT